GTCAAGGTTCCTCCCACACGAGGAGCGGAAAGGAAGAACCAACCTCAAGATAAGTCGTTCTTCTTTTGTGGCAAAGCTTTTTAGTGGACCATGGTAAGGTTTGCCTAGCCCGAAATCTCGAAAGCCATCTTATAAGAAAATCGTAATTGACTAGCATCGTAGCTGATCAAGATGTAGACGGCGTACCAGAATACGGTTTTCTAAAAGATCAACAGCACAGAAAACGTCCTACGATCAAGATATGCAGCCAAGAGTTGTTTAAGTTGAACCGAGATAACCTGCGCACTTTAAATGTAGTGATGTGCTCAGGCGCAAAATCATTTTGGGCCACAGTTGTTGCGGTAGCCCGGTGTCGTTTTTAATTAAACAAACAGCGAGTCCCCTGTTGCGGCAAAAGCCAGTGGCTAAACTCAGTAGCCCACAGAAGCTAACGGAAGCTCATCTATGTCGACTACAGCAAAAACTCAACCAACGTTTTCTGTAGCCTAACCATCCCCATATCTTCGGGATGTTAGAAAAATCAAAATGCTGTTTTTAAGCTGTTTGAAAAAAAACTAGCTATTTTCTGGGTTTGGACTTGTCAAAGTCAATCAGAGAGGAAATGATCTAACGGAGCCCGCCGACCATAACTAGAATGCAGATTGTGGCGAAAAACTTATCCTCCGAACTGGTCAAAGACCACTTTTAAAATAAATTTCCAAAGTTTTTCACTAGATTGGGAAGGTCTAAATCGTATCAAGTACACACTAACTTCTTAAACCCATTCAGCCTACGGCAGATTAAGGGCCGGAAAACCCCCATTGCATATCCAGGAGAGTATCAGAAGAACAAAAAAAATTGTTAGTTCGGAAAAGGCACAACCGACCATTTTATCAAACTAATCGTAATAACGACGAAGAAGGAGGCTCAATCAAAGCAACAGTGGACGCTCAACCAATAAACCCCCAAATCTGGAAGAACACGTACCAGATGCCAAACATACCGGAAACTATCGATTCAGTCCCACAGATCATTGCGAATGACGTCCCCGGTACCGTGTTGTTTACTTCTTTAGAATTAAAGAACGCAGTCACTCAGCCAAGACAAGCAGTCATTCTAAATTCAGCATCATAGTCGGGTAAAAAACGGGCACATATCGCTCAATCACTGGTTTATGTGGCATAACGGAAATGCTGTCCGAATTCTAAAAAGCCATGGACTGTACACTGCAGAGTTTTCCGGGTACAATTTGTTACTCGAAATTGTTCAAAAGATTTTTCTCATCCGGATGAAGAAATATTCGCCCTAAAGCTCTCTAAAAGCGAATTTGTCGTGAAAAAACTGGGGTCGTCAGGTTTCGATACTCTCCAAAACTCTCAGTAATAGATGCTAACAAGAATCTAACTATCCCATAGACGTTGAAGCAGTTCATGGTCACATTGAATCCTTTTCAAAAACTCATACACCAGGTCTGCATATTAATAAAAGCGAGTTCAAAGATTCTTGGAACTCTGTAACTTGAAAAAAGAATTTTGGAACACGAATCAAGACGTCTCGTTTAAGAAGATCCTGGACTTCATCACAGAGATCAAGAATCTCTACCACTACGAACAAGCAAAAAAAAATCCGGGTCAAGTGTAACGCTGGCCACAGCGGTCTAGGGGCATGTCTAGAGCAGGAAACCGAACCAGCTTCGTGGGTACCCATTTCTTTTGCTTCTCGTTTTCTCAACTCAGAGGAGTTGAAATATAGTACTAACAAATTAGAACTGCTTGTGTAGTCTGGGCGTGTGAATATTTCCAAACGGTACTGATTGGAATCAAATCTGACATCCTTACGGATTTTAAGGCTATCATTTCTGCCCTAAAAGAACAAAAAGGTAATAAACGGTATCAGTTCCGGCTAACCCGAAGGGCAGACCGGCTATTGCGTTCGATGTTGATATCAATTACCTACCCGGAGATACTTCAGAAACAGACAATTCCTTTCACGAAACCCTTCTTTCGGCGCCCCTTCCCTTAGTTCCATTTGCGATGCAAAAGTTGTAATTAAAACTATTGAAAATTTCATTTCGGCTAGAAATTTCAGCAATTACCTAAGCGTTGCGTCACAGGAGCTTGATCCTACTCTCACATATAAACTTGACGAATTAGACTCGAGCTCTAAAGCCAGTCTAAAACCTGAAGAGAGCGGCTCGATAGACACGCTCGAGTTCACAGAAAAACAACGGCATACGCCGCAAGAGGGCGCTCCAGTTGCCACCCGAAGTTTCAGCCAATCAGAGCCGAGCATTATTTCACGTCCTTTGCCGTTAGGGGAACTAAATACTTTGACAGGAAAGTCCAGTCAATCAAATTCCAGATTACTGTTTTGACTTTTGACGCTAGAGGGACAAAGAAACTTGATAAAAAACTTTACCCAATCAGAGGAGATTATTAATCGGAGAACAAAACCGGTCAAGAAATCCGGAATCCAATCATTCGGATGCGAGTATTCTAATTTCAATTTCCCAAAGTGTTTTCAAGTCTCAAAGTAAATGTCCAATCATTGTTTACTTAAACTCAGTTGACCAATCAGTCAGAAGCTCATTCTTAAAAAATTATGCACTCCTAGACATTACGGCTGTCAGAACCAATCTCGTGGACAAAATTTTCAAAAAAAAAACAAAGTGGGGACACGCAAACGGCCACAATCGTCGAGACGGCACCAAACAACCCAACCCGCTCCCGTTCACTTATCGAGTTTAGTCGACTAGAAAAAGTCAGAAGGCAGGCCAGAAGGACTAGAGTTGTACCTCCGAGAGTACCACTCCAGCTGATTACCCACTTCATCAAGAAATGTATCAAGAGACGACTCACTGATTAAATACGCTGAATCCGATCCAGGGAAGAGGTCTTCGCAAGAAAAGGCCGTTTTTTTTGCGTGACAGAAGTGAGATCTTGGGACTACCTGGCCTTTTCGATGTGGCGTTGTTGGCAGAGCCGACAGATGAAGACGAGTTTCTCGGACCCATGAAAAGAGCGATAATGGACATCACTACTTTTATCACCTGTCTGTATATTGGCTTAAGATACAGAAGTATAACGTTTTTTCTTTATTCTCTGCATTTTCAACCAATGGCCGATCCTACCGCAAAAGCCTAATCATTATCGGTTATTTCACCAGCCCTTGATTTACAAAATTTTTTGATAAGTTTTGTATATCAGCAATGAAACTTATCTATACACTTATTTTATATACTTTTCACATTTTACTGAGTTTCATCAGTCTCTGAGTTGCGTAAATGTCACCCATCAAACTCTGTTAAAACTATTAGTCTGCAGATCACTTTTTTCTTTGCTATCTGAAAGCTGCCTGACTTTGAAAAGGTAGAACCTACAAAAAAGAGTAATAAAAATTAGTGATGGAACATGATTGTTTAGTAAATAGCACTTTAGAACCATTTTCAAAGATTGTGAGCAATAATTGATAACATAAAACGAATCCCAAAAGGGTGACAATTTACAGGGTGTTCCAAAACCTATGAGACTTTTGAAATGGCCGTTATTTTCGACGTAAATGACGCATGAGTCAGATTTTTTGCAGGGTGATAGATGAGATGTGGAATTTCGAGAATCAGGGAACAAATAACAGTTTGGAGAAACAAAAAAGGTTTTACCCCATTTTCTTATTTTTCAATCTTGCTTCATTGAAGTGTGCACGCCAGTCTTTTCAATCTCCTTCAATTTATCAAAGAAATGAAATTCAGCGATGAACAGCGCAAATTTATTAACCTCCAGTTTGCAAAGGTTTTTCAGCAATCGCTGTCAAGTGAAAACTTCTTGAAACAAATGCCATTTGGGGAAGACAAAGAAGCAAGTTCAGTTTGACCCAATTGCAACGAGAATGGCAACGATTTAAAGACAGGCTACAAAGAATTTCGAGATCAGGGCAAAAGCAAAATAATGTTCTAGATTGGCCTTCTTCAAGGCAAAAGCATAGGCCCTTTCTGGTTCAGAGATGAGAATGGAAGACCATTAACGGTCAACCAAGTTGTTTATCTCAATATGCTCAGGAACCAAGTATGCTCCCTTGTGGAACACCGGCGAGATATTAGGAGACTTTGGTTAGGAGGCTTTGGAGACAACAAGACGGCGCAACAGTGCCATACAACCCCTCCAGTATTACAGTTTCTACAGACTGTTTTTGGTGACCGCATTATCAGTCGTCCCAAATTTCTAGGCCCGCTCAAAGCACAGACGTTAATCCTCTGGACTACTGGTTCTGGGGTTATCATTGTGCTGCAATTAATCGCAAAAACCCTAGGACCACTGTGGAACTGATCACAAGCGTTGAAAGTTTCTGTCGTGGGATCACATAGGATTAGAATTAAGCTGCTACAGCCTCAATTCACAAGCAAAATATCAAATGTCAAGAAAATGACGGGAAATATTTTCAACATCTCTTGAAATGATTAATTTTCACTTTGTATAAAATTTCCACATCTCGTTTATAACGTGTTAAATTTGCATTAGTCCACGTCAATTCAGTTAGAAATGAAAGCCTTTTCAAAAGTCTCATAGGTTTTGGAACACCCTGTAATTTTGAAAAATTCGACCTTATATTAAGTCGACCGAATTAAATTTTCCAAGTTCTATCAAATCAATCCAAAGAACTTTTTTAGTTCGCAGGCAAGTTTTTGGACAAGTAGACCAAAAAAAAGTTTTGAGTGTTTATTGAATGTTATCAACAAAAAATTGTGCTACTCGGTGCGCTCTTTCTACAAAATAGTATTCATTGGCATGAAGAATTGTCAGTGAAAAAAAGTTTTTAAACCTTTCTAACCGAAACCATTTCAAGCCGGGGTGGATCTAAGTTTTTCTCGAGGTGGATTGTTTAAAAAATTTGAAAAATTTGACGACCTTTTATGTAGGTTGACTAAATTCATTTCACGAGCGTTTTTGGTTTTGAATCAAGATTTAAAACGTGGTTACAAAAACCCCTTGCGATGGCTAAACGAACACTCCCGTTTGTTCTTTCAGACTTCAACTATATTTGTCTTGGGTCATACGAACAAAGATGTGCTCAATTTTTTCGAGACTCACTCCAGAGAATAGAATTCGATGGACTCAACATTATTTTTGCCAGTCAAGAACGAAGCATCCTTATAAAGGACCCCTTGAAATTTGCAGGTGAGCCAAATTTAAAGTAGTATGTGTCGGGGTCACTCAGTTGATCTTATTTAGCACCCAATTGTATTGACCCCGATTATGTGATCAATTTATGCTTCGATTTTCTCGACCGAAAATTGGTATGTTCCGGCGTTCTCGGCTATTTTTAGTTATATATTTTTTTACTATATTCCTCGACTAGCTAATAACTTTTTGGGACCATGTCTCGGATTCCTCGTAGTCGTCCGTCGTGGTCGCCTGAACGACCCTTTATTTTTTCTAAAGCTGCCTTTTGACATTTTTTTGAAAATTTGCCTACAGCGCAGAAAATTTAGCCAAAACAGCGTCTTTTTAGTGCTTTAATAGAGCTCGGAAAGTCGATTTGGTCCACCTAAAAAAAAGGTCGTCAAAATTTCGACATTTTTTTGAAAATCCACCCCACCTCGAGAAAATCCTAGATCCACCCCTGGATTTAATAATAAAAAAAACGACCATGTTGTCGATTGTTTCAAAGCAGCCCCATCACCTCGTTGTAGATTTTTAAGTATTTTTAGGGTCTATAAGTTACTTGACGGATGGAGCTATTATGGGAGAAAACCTCAACACAAAAAAATTTCGGCTATTAGGGAACAAAAAAAAACTTCTGCTCTCAGGGAACATTTTGTTTTTAAGCTATAAGGGAATGAATTTTATTTTCAGCTATCCGGTGTTCGGCTCCGTAACACGCCATCATTTATACCACAAAACCTACAATTCTACTATCGCTCTTTCTTTTCGTTTTTTTTTTGCGCGGATCAAGGGTAAGATAAGATTAAAAAGGAGCAGATCTTTTAAACTATTTTAATTTATTTTTAAATTGTGCTTTAGCGATAGACATGGCGCTACTATCTATGGCCGATGTACTAATCATGACTGTGGGAACTTATGGAGAATCAGGGGCTCTTCTTGGAAGGGAGAAACAAGCAGTTTATTTGCCAGACTATTATGGATACACCTATAGTAAAACTATAAATAACAGCAAATTCATTCGAATTCCCTTTAAGCAATGGTAATGATAAAACATTGCTTGATCATCATAATTAGAACAAAAGTTAACAGGTTATTCCGAGATTTTCCCTGTAAACAAAATTAAGAAATCAGCTGAGTCACAATGCCACATCATGGTTTCCGAAGAAAAGATATTGGCCAGTAGTTGAGTTCTTGACCGTAATCAGAAGATGGAGTAAACGCTCCGAAACAATTAGAGATTTTCAAGTGTAAATGGAGACGTCTGTTTAAGTGTAAATCTGAAGACGTCTGTTTTTACGTCTTCAGATTTTATTGCCAAATTTTCCTGAAAAACCGTTTTGACATTTTTGGTTTTTCGTCCTCATTAGAGCGAATAAACTGAACAAACAGGCTTGCTATAGCTTATTTTAATGGCTTAAAAGCTTATAATAACTTAATTTAAGTCCTAATAAAACTGCAAAAAAAAACGAAAAAAAAATTTTCTTTGTTTTTTTTTCTAGTAATTTTTTTTACTATGATGATTAGAACAAAATTTGTTCTAGAATGAAAAACAAAATTCGTCGCAATAAGCGTAATTTACTATGGCTGTCGAATATGCGTCTGCTTTGCTTTTTCGTTTATGGTCGGAACAGACTATGGTCGGAACTATGGTCGGAACAGTCTGTGCAATGTGCAAAGTAACCTGTTATCTAGTTTTTTTGTTTTTAACGTAAAATCAGGTACCACGAATAATCTTCGGATTAAGTCGAGTGATATACCAAAACGAAGCCCTTTTAGTTGTGATTTGAAAGACAAAAAAAAATTTCAAAAAGTTTTCTCCGTATAGAGAAAAACTGGTTTAAGTTTTTGATTTTGATTCAATTTTTTAATAGAGCGTTTTCAGACTTTTTTCTGAAAAAAAAAGAGGAAAATTCATCAAGATCTATTTAAGTGAAAATCACGTCCATTTACACTTGAAAATCTCTAATTCTTTCGGAGCGTTTACTCCATCTTCTGATTACGGTCAAGAACTCAACTACTGGCCAATATCTTTTCTTCGGAAACCATGATGTGGCATTGTTCTGTAAAGACTCAGCTCTCGCATGAATATATATTATGTTGCAAAAGAAAACAGAACAGATAATCTTTTAAAACTACTAAATGCTTAAGCCTGGTGACTTTAGTTTTTAGAAAGTATATGTAACCATTCACAACTGCAATGTGTGTTCCCGTCTATTTAATCAGGTGTTTTGGGCTGAGCTTCAGGAGGATATGGATCAACATGAGCGCATCGACTGATATATCTTGATGAGTGAGCAAGGTGTTTATACTCCCTCGCGCATATTATCCACGATGATGCACGTATGCCACTTAGTAAATCAAAGCTGTTCATGTAACCAGTTTGTGGTGGCGATCGAAAAAAAAAGTAAAAAGTGTTACAGACATACAAGAAGCTCAAAAGCTTATAAAATTTTTGAGAGTATTTTTTAGAATTGGAACTGTAACGAATTGATGTTGCCGAAAGCAAAATAAGTATATACCCAATTTTAGCACCAATTCAGAATATTCAGGAGTTAATTGTTCCGACTTTCGATACGAAAGTAACGGAATATTTCAGCTCGGGGTGGGTTTTTTTTTCTTCAGACAAAATTCGACTTTTTAACTAGCAATTTTTGACGGATTTTTAAATATCATTCGAAAGGTATTGTTGTCCTGAGCTCAAATTTGAAAAGATATTTCACCTGTAATCTTTTTTTGTAAAGTTATGGGGGTTTAAAGATTGGCATTTTGGTCAATTTGGGACAATTAACGCGCCATATAATTCGCGCTATTAACGCGTAAGCGGAGAGTTACTCCGTCTTAGAAATCGTTCCAAACTGGTTGAAAGAAGCTTATTTGCCATAATTGATTTGTTACAAGGAACGAAATCTATCCTTTTGTACTTTATATGGCGTGTGGGGGGACGATTTTCATAAAAAAACTTCAAATTTTAGAAAAACTTTTTTTTTCATTTTTTTACATTTAACTTTTTAATGTTTCTACTGCTCCAAAAACCTTAAAAGGGAGTCGGAACATACAGGGCTTTGCCCTGATACGAGCAGTCTTGTTTGAATTTGATATTCGAGAAGAAAACAATGAATTTAATTATAAAACTTCTTCCCATGGGAAACTGGCAGAAAATTGTCATTTATTAACCTCCTCTGATGTTACCAGATGCTACAATAGGAGCTTCATCTAGTAAACGCAACAGTCAACGGCATTAACTTCACGTAATAAAACAGATCGATCATTGATTTGAACCCAACTACTAGAAAAGTACATTCGCTCGGCTCAAAATTTTCTCTATTGCTCTGCCTTTCCAACACAAAAACCCAATATGATCTTTTTAAATAACATACTAGACTGATGGTATCAGGGAGAAGCCCCAAATGCTCAAACTTCTCTACAATGTCCATGGAATAGTTCTGGATTTAAATAAATTGTTAACTTTCCCAAGAAAAACTTGATTTTTAAAACAAGTACTGCGCATGCCATAAAGAACAAATTGATAGATTTTTCTTTTAGTAATGGTCACAAGGTGATTTCCTGTTCCGACTTTCGTAACGAAAGTAACGGAATATTTTTGCTCGGTGTTGATTTTTTTCTTCAGACTTTTTATTTAGCCATTTTGGAGAATTTTTTTTTCATCCAAAAACTAGTGTTGTCTTGAGCTTAAAATTGAAAAAATATTTTGCCTGTGATCATTTTTCGTAAAGTTATGGAGGATTAAATTTTACCTTTTGGGACAATTAACGCGCTATTTATTTAGCGCTATTAACGCGTCAGCGAGATTTAATCCGTCTTAGAAATTGTTCCAAATTTGTTGAAGGAAGCTTATTTGCAATAATTGTTTTGTTAATAGGAGCTAAACCTACCACTTAGTACTTTTTATGGCGTCTAGGAGGAGGATGTTCACAAAAAATCTCAAATTTTAATAAATAAATTTTTTAAATTTTATTGGATTAAATCTATTTTATTTTCTTGTTATTACTGCTTCATAGACTTTAAAAGGCAGTCTGAACATTCAGGGCTCCACTCTGATAGGAGCAGTCTTCTTCTGCTTAAATTTGAGCTCATGGCGTCAAAAATATTTACATGATATATAAACGTCGTCCAGTTATGAAAAAATTGAGAAAATTAAATGTAACAAAACAAAATTTAAAATTTTAAAGTTATGGGTGTTTGAAAATAGCCAAGCGTTGAATTAATCAGGCTCAGAAACCGTTCCAAACTAATTTGATGCTGGCTGTTTGTTCTAATTGTTACATTACTAAAAGCAAAACTAGATAAATTGGGAAAGTTAACAATTTATTTAAATCGATAACTGTTCCATGACATTGTAGAGAAGTCTGAGCATTCGGGGCTTCTCCGTGATACCATCAGTCTAGTATGTTAATTAAAAAGATCATATTGGGTTATTGTGTTGGAAAGGCAGAGTAATAGAGAAAATTTTGAGCCGAGCGAATGTACTTTTCCAGTAGTTGGGTTCAAATCAATGATCGATCTGTTTTATTACGTGAAGTTGATGCCGTTGACTGTTGCTTTTACTAGATGAAGCTTCTATTGTAGCATCTGGTAACATCAGAGGAGGTTAATAAATGACAACAATTTTCTGCCAGTTTCGCATGGGAAGATTTATAATTAAATTCATTGTTTTCTTCTCGAATAACAAATTCAAACAAGACTGCTCGTATCAGGGCAAAGCCCTGTATGTTCCGACTGCCTTTTAAGGTTTTTGGAGCAGTAGAAACATTAAAAAGTTAAATGTAAAAAAATGAAAAGTTTTTTTCTTCTAAAACTTGAAGTTTTTTTATGAAAATCATCCCCCCACACGCCATATAAAGTACAAAAGGATAGATTTCGTTCCTTGTAACAAATCAATTATGGCAAATAAGCTTCCTACCACCAATTTAGAACGATTTCTAAGACAAATTAAATCTCCGCTTACGCGCGTTAATTGTCCCAAATTGGCCAAAATGGCATTCTTTAACCCCCATAATTTTATGAAAAATGATAACAGGTGAAATATCTTTTCAGATTTGAGTTCAGGACAACAACACCTTTCGAAAAATATCTAAAAAATTCCGTCAAAAAAGGCTACTAAAAAGTTGAAATTTGCCAGAAAAAAAACCACCCCGAGCACAGATATTCCGTTATTTTCGTTGAAAGTCGGAACAATTACTTTCGTTACAAAAGTCGGAACAATAAAACGAGCACAAATACTCCGTCAACTTCTTCGAAAGACTGAATAATTTCTTGAATTGTGACAAGCTCTTTGTTTAATCTAAATACAACTCGTTCAAATTGCAGTTTATCACTTAGAACTTATTTCTAGTTGCGGATCAAAATGTCACAAGACCAGGTGTCATTTCAAGAAAAACAAGAAGGAAACCATTTTGTGTGCAATTTTACGCCAGGAAAAACTTGAAGCAACTAAAGAGAACAGTTGGATTGCCCTAGTTCAAAAGAACAAACGGAACGTAAATTACCGAAACCTTGAAATGAAGCAGTTTCAAGCCAATAAATTGGGGATATTATTTACATTTATGAAAAAAATAACAATTTATTACACAGATAGACAATGTTATATCACGCAAAATAATCCCAAGAAAAGCGTATCAATAAATCAACATGATTAGGCGCGAAAACTTCATTTGGTAAAATTTTATAGGGATTGACTTGGTTTAAATCTGAATAAGACGAAAATAAATACGTATGCCACCAAGCATTGAATTTAATGAGCACCAAACATAAGACCTCTACAATCCGACACCGTCGTTCAAAATTAAATAGGAAGGGAAAATTGAATTACAATTATCCCAATTTTTGGTACGACCGGACTCGACCGAACAAAAACGTATTGGACCGGCAAACAATTATGTTTAGGCATACACAGCCCAATAATACCTCGGTTTTGGCTGAGCTGAAGGCTGCGGCTCAAGACAAGTTGGAAATTACATACTTCGTTTTGAATAGGAAAAAAACCTCACATTTTCTGCTTTTTGGTGTTTTTTATAAAAACTTTCACGATCGAAGAAGGAAGTGGTCGAACAAAATTTCATAAGTTAGAATGCTATGCTTGCGTTGTAATTTTTCTATATGTTGGAGCGCTTAGTAAGAGAATCTTTTTCTACAATTGAAACTGCACTGTTGTCATGTCAGAGAGTGGGTGCAACAACAAATCTCCAGGACTATAGAATAACTTTTACCAAAAATTTGTTTTTTTTCTTTATTTTCAAAAGTTCGTGACTGTCTGTTGCAAAGCAATTATGGGCATTTAACAAAATATCGCTGGTACCCGGTAGAATGACGGATTTCGACTAATATATACCAAAGTTCGTGACTGTCTGTTGCAAAGCAATTATGGGCATTTAACAAAATATCGCTGGTACCCGGTAGAATGACGGATTTCGACTAATATATACCAAATTATTAACAAAACTCTACAGTTAATTGCCTATAAATGCTGTGAAACTGATGCCATCGAAATTTTTCAACGTCTTAGATCCTAAGTTTTCAAATTAAGACAGTCCGATAATACACAACTTCTTCAACGAAGTTTTTATTTCGATTCCTCTATATTTTAATCGTTCGAGAGAGGCGAAGTTGCACTTCGCATACGCAAGCGAAAATGTGACCGATAGCGCTACTGTGAAAAACTTTGAGTCTTCAAAATTTATTAAGTGGCGCAGGCCAATTATGAGTCTACATAATTGCTAAGTGACGCAAGCCAATTATGACGCATTAGCAGTACCAGTCAATTTGAAAAAAAAGTTACCAAATAACATGCCTCAATTTATAGAGCGGACGCATTTTAACTAGTATACGAAAAAGTTCATTTAAAGCATTTGACCCTGCCCAGGTTTGAACCCTCTTATTTTGTTGCGGGTCTCCTTCCCTACCTCTACGCTATAGATCCATGATACATTGAAGCTAAACGGCTCTTGGTAATATAATAGTCTGTGTTAAAATCTTTAGCATTGGCTGTACTAATAACTGGTTATTGATCAAAATGAACACTTTCAAAATGAACACATATTGTCGTAACAAAATTTGCGTCGCAACAATATTTCGAATTAGGTTGGAAAAAAAGAAAGTTCACACTATAGCGCAAGCTTTGCTTGTGACATTAACTTTGTTAATTCCTCAGTAAACTGCCTGAAATTATTTGCATAAATGTGATAATGATGATTTTTTGTTAAACGTGTTCACAATGCTTCACTTTTGTCTTTAGATTCAATTGCCATGTTCAGTTTAGTGCCATAAATTGTTTTGAAATTAAAAATCAAGAAAATTTTTTTTCTAATCCTCTCAAAAAACGAAATTTGAGATGATGATTTTTAGGTTTATGGTCGCAATGCTTCACTATAAGCTCATAAATTTTGATCTTTACTGAGCTTCAAGATTCTTGAAACCAACTTGCCAATTTTTCAAAGACTTTCAAAATTCTTTTAGATTCGCCAAAGATCGCAGATTGCTAGTCCTAGAAAGATTAAAAAGATCTGAAAAACAGCCCTTTTGTTTTTCTTGCCTAATTATCTAACCACTGAATATATCTGACAAGAATAGTTGTTAGATAAATGTTGGAGAAAAAATAGATGGCCTTAAAGGCCTTCGAATTTCTAGAAAAATGTGTGATTCTAGAAAAATGTATTACACTTTTTGATGAAGTTAACCCAAATTGAGAAAACTGGATCTATAGGAAAAATTACCATTTCGCTAGCGAATCTTAAAATATATATAAATTTCGAAACTGGATGTCGAAATTATAAATACAATTTACACTTTTGCTGTTTGATAGTAGATTTTGCCTTCCTTTTAACGCAGGAAATGAGTTGATTTTGAAAAAATCAGTAGTCAAACACCGCGCAAAAACAAATTTGAGCCTTATTAAGTTTTAAGATTTTCCTAAATAAAACACAAAAAAAACATCATCACGGCCTATATAAGAATCTGAACTACGTTCATCGACTCTTGCAAAAGATTGAACTATAAAAAACTGCCACCCATGCCCACTCCGTAATTTAGCATTTAAATCTTTGCACGTCGCGACTTTGAGTTCATCTGTTGAGATGAAAGAAGATGAGTGTATTTCATACAAAAGTTGGTTCAGTACAAGTCGTCTACTTTGGCTCTCTTGGCTGCTTTCAACTTCTGTTTTTCTTGGTCTTTTTTGAATTCTTCTGCGTCCTCTTTTTTTCCAATACGTTCACTAAAACAGAAAAAACTATAACAATTCAGGCATGGAAGACTCTAGGTGTATTTACTCCTGATGATTAGACTACTTCGGTATTTCCGTACTATAGAAGCAGATTAAGCGTAAGTAATATCGACTCAACTCACTCGCCACCAGCGTTGATTTTCCCTTTCATCTTTTTACAAAAAGGCGAAGCAAACTTCGTAACAATGGTGATACAAAAAATATGACTATGATGAAGATTTTTACTAAGCCACGACATATTTACTCAAAAATCGCACCATTTTTCCATTATTTTGCAAAACTGCAATGAAAAAATATCAAGATAACAAGTTTTCGTTGAAAATTTTATTGTAAACGAATTTCTCTAGTTTCCAAAAATCGGTGAAATAATCAGCAATGAAATCAAATATCAAGAAAAAAGCATAGTTTAAACAGAGGTGAAGATGCAGCTTCGCAAACACAACAAGAAAATGACAGAAGTGAGCTTCAAATTAAACAAAAATGCAAATTTAGGCATTTGAAGGTAATCAGGTACAGGCAACCACAATAACTCTGCATGCAATAAATTGGAAGTGTAACGGTGTGTAACCGCTTTATATATTGACATGGAATTATTGTACTTTTTAATGAAACAAATAGCTACAGTTGCTTCAGTTGATGAGTTGCGCAAGGATCAACTGTGTTAGCTCATTGAAATCAAATGTCATAGCAAATATTATAGTGCCAATGCAGCCTGCTGATTCAAAAATTTATTTGCGACATAAGTTGGCAACAAAAATTGCAGCGTTTGATAACACTACGCTTCGCATGTGTAAAAATGCTGTAATCAGATCATGTCATACTTACTTGTGATAGTAAAAAAATTAATCTCGAAATTTTTATTAAACTATCTTAAACTGAATCAATTGGAAACAATTTGTTCTTCGGCCTCACAGGTGGACCTTGAACCTATAAATGATTCCCAATATTTAAAAGCATGTACGCAATTGGCAGTAAAAACATTTCTCGCCAGATTATATTGAGAAAATGCAAAAAAAATAGCCGGTTGCTGTGCAAGTAGCACAGAATGTTCCGACCATAGTCTTAAAAAACACATAAAAACTTTTTTGAATGAGTTTCATTTTTTTGCGTGGTGTGATAATTGATCAGAACAAAAAACTAGAACTCAGGCATTTTCGACAGTCATATTTAAAAAAAGACAAAATGGACATTAGTTTATTGTAGAAAAATGGCTAATAAAAAAAACAGTTTTTATTGCAGATAATTTTTTGAATTTTTTTCATTCTCAAGACCTGCGACGACTATCCTTCTGTAATAAGCCTGCTTGCTCACTTTACTCACTCAAAAACAGAAGAAAACTCAAAAAACTTTTCTACGGGTTTTTCTCGATACCGGAATACTAACATGCCTCAATTTATAGAGCGGACGGATTTCAACTAGTATACGAAGAAGTTCCTTAAAAACGTCCGACCCTGTCCAGGTTCGAGCCCTCTTCCTTTGTTGCGGTTCTCCGTCCCTACCTCTACGCTACATATCTACATATCCATGATACCTTGAAGCTAGGGGTAAAGTGCTATTTGTAATTTAATAGTCCGTGTTAATATCCTTAGCATTGGCTGTACTTAATAGCTGGTTATTGATCAAAACGAACACTTTGAAAATGAACACAGTTTGTCGCAACAATATTTGCGACTTAGGTTGAAAAAAAGATAGTTCATGCAAAAACACAAGCTTTGCTTGTATAGTAATAACGACCAGTAAAAAAATTCGGATACGACACCTATGAAAACTGAAAGAGTTCCAACCGTGAGCTTCTAACTGTGGTGGACAAACAAGAGAAGTAACTTCAACTCCTCTATTCTACTCTGAATTGCAACAAACTTGGTCTCGCGAACGTACATACAGAAAACTATTTTTCTAAATTGGCACCGATTTTGCCAGATTACGGTTATAAGCAAACTATGCAACAGGCTTCTTGATTTTTGGTGGTAAAATTCATCCTTTTTGATTTTTGGTAGTAAAATACACTTCTTTCCCTAATTAAAGGGCAATCATGCGTATAAAACTCATTATTTTAGAATACAGCCAGTCAGTAGTATTGAAAATCACTCAAAAAATAAGATAAAATGGCACTTTTGAAGAATTTTTTTAATATGAAAAATTTAATGAAAAATAATGCTTGCAACCTTACCTTCGTTTTTCCTCCTTGAGAATATCATTGAATGAGGCGGTCATTGACCTGCGCAATTCGAAGTCACTGATGTCCTGGTCATTGTATCTAAACATAATAATAAACTTCTTCTGGTAAATCAATTAACTTACGGAGTTTCAATGCATGAAGTTTATCTATACTACAGCTCTGCAACAGTTTTCGAAATACGAAAAAAATTCAGTTAAGCGACCAAAAACTGCGATTTGAATTTATCACACTCATCTATAAAATGACCAACTGCCATTCTGTAAAACAGTGCAAAAAATTGTCGTATCTTTTTGAATTAGTAGTTTCATCGAGCATAATTTGTATACAAAAAGCGTACTAAAACTTTAAATATTTTGGTAATGAGGCCCTGAATTATTAATTCAGCAGCCTATTCATTTTGGTACACAAGATATTGAATGTTTCCAAGTTATGCAATTTTCAACAGCATCAGGTTATTTGAGGCAATAACTTTTTTAGTTAGTTGAGACTACAGATTCTAATAAATCGATAACTTCTAGGCGAACTTCTTCAGTAAAAGTTGAGCGTAAATTACCTCGAGGGATCGTATCCTGTGATTTTTCTCAGCTCGGCAAGGACGTCGTCAGCTGATCCATGTCCATTTCCGTCGAATCCCAGGCCATCCTCTTCCTCGTCGTCTATGAAGTCGTCTAGTTCCGAGTCGTACTCGTTCTCAAGCTCGGCCAGTTCCTTGCGCTCTTCGAAACGGCGTTCTGCAAATCAATTGATTAGAAATTAACTCGGCTTTTAAAATCCAAAAAAATGGCTAAACAGCTACTACATTTTAATCAACAACTATTATGCGGTGCAATTAACATCTTATTTCGACATTAACAAATGCGACAGTTTTATAGTTCCTACAACCACAACCGAAATTGTGAACGTATTATGATTAGGGATTTCTTTGGCCTCGAATAGTCCCAACAAACAAAGGTCAGATGCGGCCGAGTGATAAAACATACAGAGGTTCTATTAGTAGTGCTCGATGGACTTTTAGTAGTAATTGTCCACAAAAATGCTTTGGAAATTTTGCTAGCAGGAAAATTAAAAAAAACGACAAAATCATTGTTGAATATAACCATTCAGTAAAATTGTTTAGATTTTCAAACAAGTTCCTAAACAAACGACAGTGATATGATCATTCTGTGCTACTTGCATATGAGCCGACTTTTCTGGTTACTCAAAGCACTTCACGAAGTATGAAGTTAAAGCGTAGGGCGTGTTTGTTTTTCATTTGATCATCAAGAAATCTTGTTTCCGGTTCCAGTATAATATTATAGTAGCAATCCCGTCTTCATTAATGAATCGGCTCGCAAATATTTAGTTGTTCCGCGGTAAATTTCCAAGTTACACCACACCATGTACTAATTGCCAAAATTTCATGTTTTTCTAAGTAGGCCATTCAAATCGAAATGTGCCACTCAGATCGCAATGTGCCATGTAAATCGTGAATGAAGTTAAATAAAAACGTAAGAAACAAAAGTGCAAAAAATCAAAGTTGGACAAAAATATTTAGATTTTCCTGAAAAAATATACCAAACCAAATTTAGAGTAAAGGTCTTCATTTCGCTCATTGACACATGTAACAATAAAAAAAAAGCAACTTGAGTCAATTGTTTATTTATTGAGACAGTCTAGCTTGCCAATTCAATTTGGAACACAGAGGCGAAGCAGAGCTTCGCACCACTTACAATACAACATAAAAAAGCACTGCAAGCTAGCAGACAGAAGAAAGCCAAAAATAATTTAGAAATCACAACTTAAAAAAACTCAAAATGTTGTCTGGAATCATGTCCTATTTGGAAACAAGTCCAGAAACTCAATCGACGGCAATTAATGAAAATTAAAAAATAATCAAACAGCGACAACTCAGCCGACGAGTTCTAATTAATTTCCGGTAGCACCGAAAATATATTTATTGTCATGAAAAACTAACTATAAATCTAATCTAATAATTAAAATTAAAAATTGCAGAAGTAATTGAAAACACTGAAAGTAACAACATTGAAAATTACGTACAAAAAATTAATTCTACGATGTGGCAACTAAGCCCACTAAACATAAGCACACAAACTAGATGCCAACATTTTTTGGAAAGTTGAAAATTTCCAGTTTGAAAAAAAGAAAGAAAACAGTTCCCGGTCAGATTCGAACCCATGACCTCTGCTGCGAACCAAGATAAAAATGATTCTGTTAAACAAGTTGGTAACCCCGAAAAAAATCTTTATACCGGCTTGATAACGCTTGCTTATCGCAAGCGTAATAAGTTTTTGAGCGCGTAAAAATATCGATTAATTTGCGGTGTTCAAACGAATTCGCGCCTACCCATTGATCATCAACAATAAACGGACAAAGCGCACATAATTTAGTCCAGAGAAATAAGAAATGGGCAAATTGGAGGTTAAATTTCATTTTACATTTCAGCTCAGGTGGTCTGCGCACGGCTAAAAAAGTCGCTCAAACTATTTTTTTTAAATCTTCTCCACAAAAGCAAGCACAAAAAGGGTTAAAAACGAGCTCTAAAAAGGCAAGAAGAAAAGCGTCAGACGAAACAAAAATATGCCTTAGGAGAAAACCAATTTCAAAATACAACAACGATAGCCTGTTACTGTTAAAGTAGTACAGAATGTTCCGACCATAAACTTAAAAAACATACAAACTTTTTTCTTTCAAATTAGTGTCGTTTTTTCTGCGTGGTGTGATAAAAGGATCGGGACAAAAAAACTGCAATTTGGGCATATTCGTCAGTCATCGTAACAGAAGCAAATTTGAACAACAGTTTTTGAAGAAAAATGACCAGGAAAACAAAAATAATCAAGAAAAAATTCATTTTTTTTTTTGCAGCAATTTGAGTTTTTGATTGTCAAAATGACGTTAACAAAACTCTAAAAACAAATTATACTCGAGTGAAATTAAAATCAAGCATAAACACAAGCGAAGCTGAGCTTCGCACTTTTTAGCATACGAAACAAGACGCTAAGTCGGAAAAAATTGGAAATATCGAAACTAGATCTATTAAAAAGGATAGGGCTAGTTTTGAAAAAAAAAAACGCTATGACATTAGAGTGCAAAATTAGTACCGGAAAAAATTTTTAGCAAGCGGTAACCAAGCCGAAAACACCTCAGCAGAAACCCTTTAAGCCGAAAAAAAATTAACAAGACTTAAGATTATAAAAAATAAAAGTCGCCCTCACCATCAAAACACCATCAAAACACACATACATAAAAACTTTTTTTTGTTCGTCGAAAAAGGCAATTTAAGGCCATTAAGGCAATTTACTTTAAGTCGAAACATATCAAGCGGTAAAAAAATGGAAAATAAAACCGAAAAAAATTGTTTTCATGAACATTTATAGTTTCTACTAAGATTTTTCAGCTGTTTGTGCATTCCAGGTGCGCATAGAAAATATATTTTCATTGAAACAAATCAAAAATACCGAAATCATTTGGGCAAAAAAAAGTGTTTAGGCAATCAAAAAGTTAGTAAAATTACAAACAGCAGAAAAAATCGAAGCACTATAAACAACTACAAAGTAACTTGCGTAAAACAAAAAAAAATATTTCTACGATGTGGCAACTAAGCCGGAAAAACATAAGCAGACAAATAATATACCGAGAATTCTTTAAACGGAATACTTACCGTTTGAAAGAAAAAAACAGGTCCTGTCAGATTCGAAACCAGTACCTTTGCCACCACAGACGTATTTGCTACCTCCAGACTACGTACGCCGGAGACCCAAAGAAATTTTTTTATTATGAACTGAACCTAAATTTAACATTTCTAATTTTGACCATTCCGTGAACCAAGATATTAAGTAGTAAAAAGTCTAGTACCCGATTGCAATACCCTTGCTTATCACTTGTACACAGACGGCCTAAACTAAGCATAAATTAGCATGCTCGCGCGCTGTACTCGCTCGAAATAAGAGGAAAATCAAAAAAATCTAACCAGTTTTTCTCGACACTAGGATAAATTTTTGGAAAATTTTTAATGTCGTTCGAGTCACGAATGAAAGGGCTTTAATATTATATATCACTCGACCTATTCCGATGATTTTTTCTGGTACCTTATTTTGCGTAAAAAAAAAAAAAAAAAGAAAAAAAGTAAAACACACGACACGAACACAAAGTTCCTCCGCATTTTTCAAATGGTCGGAACAAAATAGTTTCTTTAGATACAAAGCAGTAAAGAACAGGCGCGTTAATACAACGGATATGGATAGATCATGCTGCTAGTACGCATAAGCTTTCGACAAAACTTTGCACAAAAATGAGCGACCCCAGTTGGGAAAAAACGCACAGATTTCAGAATACCTCGCATGCTGAATAATTTACAACTAAAAGTTTCTTCATATACAATTGACTGATCGCAAACAAGATAAAAATTTGAAAAGCAAAAACATTTCGACCATTTTTGTCAAAATTGCAGCTCAAATCAACTCTGAAACAGCTCCATCTTTATTTATAATCAAGCTCCCTTGGGACGTTTTTTTTTGTCAGAATGTGAGATTAAAAATTTCAACTAAATGCAAATTTACTATGCTCTTCTATTCCGAACAATAAAAAACTGTAACACTTCCCAAAACATCACGAGCTCAAGATCATATTAAGTTTTCTTTCATTAGCTTTAGAATAATCTACTAATCGTAAAAATCGATGAGTGCTTGAGCATTCGACAACTTCTGTGTCAAAATTTAATTCAACTCACTTGCGGTTGAGTTAATACCCAGCTGAGCGGCAATACCCCTGCCTCTTACTGGCTGGGCACTCGAACACACTTGAGGTCTAGACTGTTGATAATTCCCACAACTACTACTAGAAGCCGAACTAGATCCAGGGTATCTCTCGGGTTCCCTCGATATCGGATCGGGTCTCGGCTGTTCTTTACGATGATAAACTTCGTGATTCATAGCACCATAGTTTCTACTCGTTTCTGGCTGCGCAGCGAGTTGCGCTGCTATTCCTTTGCTTTTAAACTTTGGTTTACATAAAGATTCATTTTCTTCTCTAGGTTGCGAGTGTTTCTTTGCACTATCATTGCTAGATTGACTACTGGATCCCAGGCTAAACTGCGCAGCTATTCCTTTGCTTTTGAAACCGTTTGTTGACACCTTTGAGCTGGTTTCACATACCCTCTGAGGATTTGTTGATCCGACTTGCTTACTTGGACCAACCTTTAGGTGACTGTTCGTCGTAGTAGTAGTCTTAACAGCAGGTCGAGGTATCGGTTTTGATTTAACCTTTTTCAAATGAACCATTTCTTCGTCCAAACTTTTCTTTGGTTTTTCCACTTGAACTTTCAGCTCTTCAGTTAAGAGATTGTCTCCTTTTTCGTTGCCTTTAGCTGCCATTTTCATCAGTGTTTGAAAATCAACAGGTGCCGATGGACCCTTCGGAGCACTGTTCGGCCTCGCGGACTCAATATTTGAATATTGGGCTCTAATATTGCTTTTTGAAAAGACTGTTTCCGGCCTAGATTGCAAGCTAGCTGCTTGACGAGCTTGTTTTCTGCGTTCTTCCTCTTTTAAAGTCTGCAGTGATTTTGTCATTGCTTCTTCTCTTTCTTTCTGCTTCGCTTGTTTTCGCTTCTCCAGACGCTGTTCCAACAGAGCTCGCCTTTCTTCAATAAGTTTCTTTTCTGAAAGAATCAAAACTCAGTTCTGTCGAAGATCGCATAATATCGACGCTTTTGAAGAGTATGAGAACTTTTATGATCCCTAATTACACTATCATATAAAAATTTCAATGCTTCCGATGCCACTTACAGCAAATCTGTTTCTGACTTTGAGGAGAAACATACCGAAAAAGACGATTGCCAATTGTAGATTAGCATTAGCCCTACCGTTTGTTTCTAGGTAACCTAAAGGGATGCTACTCGAAAGATTGAATTACCTGTATAGCAGTCCTGATGTAGATTTATTTAACCTGTTTGATCAAAATGATGTGTGTCAAAATTTTATCTGCATCAAATTCAAATTCATTGAAACAAAATGTAAGGATCGGTAAACAAGATAACAAAATGTTTTTATTATAGGTTTTCAGCTTAAACAAATCGTGAAAGTTTTCATAACCCACCATCGCATAACCCACCATCACACACGCGAAAAAAAAATCTTACCTCCCTTCAAACGGCACAAAATTAGGCGACTAAGCCAATATATGATTATCAGAAAACATTAGAGCCGAATAAACGCTTCAAGCGAACAGAACAAAAGGGAATTAATAAAACTTGGAGTTGGTATACAACCAACATACAACATTCTAAGAGCTTAATTGAAAACTCGTACGAGGCTCAAAAATTTTGACTGGTCAAATAAACCTGTTGGCAAAAAACGATGCAGTGATTTTGTTAGACAGCTTGTTTAGCTTGAAAAAAGTTTATGTTCCGATTTGACAACGCTTGATCCGATTTGACAACGAAGAATATTTGTGCTCGCGGGCTGGTTTTTCCCCAGATAAAAATTTGACTTTTACCTAGCCATTTTTGACGGATTTTTTTTTATCATTCAAAAAATGTTGTCCTGAGTCCAAAGTTTAGAAGATATTTCACCTTTGACCATTTTGCGTAAAGTTATGAGGGTAAAAAGATTGTCAATTTGGGACAATTAACACTCCATATATTTTGTTTTATTAAAGCGGAGATTTAATCCGTTTTGGAAATGAGTCCAAATTGAAATGAGGTATGCTATTTAGTCATATATGCTATTAGCACGCTATTTGCAAAACTCGGGCCCAAAAATTTACCCCAAAAACCATCATTTTTGGTTTTATTTAGTGAATCAAAAAGTACTCTAACCCATTTGTTCATTTACTGGCAAAACTATATCACTGCAAGCCTCTTATGTAGGCCAACAAAATTTAACTCGGGTGTTATCTCCAAAAGTGGGCGCAAAAGTTTTTTAAAAAATTCGTATATAAAGAATTGGTCTTTTATAAAGTAAAAACGACATTTTTTGGCTATCAAACGAAAATTAATATGTTTTTACAAAGCTAAGAAAAATATAGCCTCCTTAAAATTTGTTGCGCTACAAAAAAGGTTTGCAGTGGAATATTTTTCCTAGACTAACAAAGGTAGTTTTTGGGGTAAATTTTTGGGCCAGATTTTTGCAAAAACAAATTATTGCACCATATTAATTTCTGTTAAAAATTTAAGCAAGCTTGGTCTTCATCATTTTTTGTCTAAAATCAACCCAATTTGAGGAAAACGCGTTTGAAGTTTGAAATTTTGCTCGTTTCGCCACGATAAATTTAAATCAGCACTGTACTTTCCTATATGTAAATATATCATTTTGTAGTTAACATAGGGGGGTGATTTAAAAAATCTCAAAAACACTTTACTTTTTTGAAAGTTCATCAATCGTTTTAAGGCGAACACTACTCTATAGACCTTAAAAGGGGCCGTCGGAACATTCAAGGCTTCGCCCTGATATGAGCAGTCTTGTTACGTTTAACGTTTGAAACATGGCAAGATAAAGTTTGGGTACCTTTACCAAAAAATAGGATTTAAACCCTACCTTTGTCTTGCATCTGCTGTTTCTTCTGTTCCATGTAGCTCCTCACTGCATCTTCGCTTACACATTTACTCTTTGATGTTCTACTCACAGTAGCAGTAGTTCTACTATTAGCACCACCATTGGCACCAATTCTACTACTCGGAATTTCATTTCTGTTCCTACTACTATGTATGGCACTAGTAGTTGAAGTAGCCTTAATTGCACCTGCCACTTTCTCCTAAAATGAATGAAATACTAATGAGAAACATGCAAACATTTGATATCAGCTCTCACATCTGAAAAGTGAAAAAAAAATGGTGCCAATATCCGAGAAATATTTTCATAGAGTAGGGGAAGATCGGATTTATATAGTTCTCTTAAAAAGGTTTAAGAGAACAAAGTTGATTACAAACATGGCCAATTCAGCAATCACTGAATCAATATGAATTCTAGGTGAAAACTTCTTCGGCAAAAGTTGCCCTTCACAACTCCAAATGAGCCTCAATAGCCGCTATTGTAAGTTTTTTTTTTCAACTACTGAAAGTTGAAAGGAATTTGTCTTTTTTTCTTCAAGTTTTTTTCTGCGCAAAATAGGCTTTTAGAGCTGTCAAATTTCAACAGCCAATTCGCCAACCAAGATGATGTGGCATCCACGAGCCAATACCTCGTATCGCACATTTTGTCTTGTCTGAATTTTGTCGAAATCCGCAACGGAAACTGCAAGTGGAATTCCCAAGTTGTACACGGATTCCCCAACTTGCTAATGGATTCCGCAAATATAATCAACCAGCGATTTGTGTTTGAACAGTTAGGCGCTATAATAAGGTTCTTGGAAAGTCTTTAATAAGGTGCTCAAGAAAAAATAGGCTTGAGTGATAACCGAATTCATTATCCTGCCGAAAAAAAAACAAATTGTGAGATTCGTTACAAGAAAAAAAAATCATTTAAGCTCAAATATTGAGTAAGCTCTTTATAGGGCTAGTTAATCTTAACTAGGCACTATTGGGGGATGGGGTAATTGAAGAAATCAAGGAATATCTATTAAAACCTTTTTGTCAACCTTTTTTTGTTAGGCCGTCCAAATTGATTTTCCGAGCTCTCCCAAAGCACTAAAGAACCTGTTTTGGCCAAAATTTCAGTGCTGCAGGCAAACTTTTGAAAAAACAGGCCGAAAAAGGCGTTTTAAGGCATTTTTGGAAAATGTTGACCAAAAAATCGCATTTTTTATGCGCGTGCTTCCCTCTCAAATTTTGGCGCCTTCAGAAAAATTTTTAGGGTCCGTCGCCAAAAATGGATATCTCAAAATAGTACAAAGGGAGACCCTTTGGGTCGGCAGGGGTCTTGCCAGGTTTGCTCAGCTTCCAACGCTTCATACATATTTTTGGACTACCATGAGAAAGTAGTTCCCAATGCCAGAGTCGACTATTACTGCTTAGACCCTCAAGCAACGTTATGGAGATACCCGGTTTACCTAGGAGAATCACCGGCGCTTCAGTATTTAGAGCAATGAGCATGAAAAAATTTTGCCTTGGCCGCTTGGCGAATCACTCGATCTTATAGAAGAAACCAACGGAACTAAAATGAAAAGGAAGGCTCTCAATATCCTCAGTCTATAGACTGACCCCTTCGTGTAGCTAAACACCTTCAGCTAACATGGCACGAAGCGAAGGAGCAGGAGAGCTTAGCTCCCTTGAAGTAACTTTTAAGCTTGACGTAGAATGCTGACCTCACAAGAGCACATCAAAACGCGAAATCAATTCCTATGTCCTTTGGTAAAACGATGTTCAAGCATGCCCTACCTATCCCGTCGGGGGTCAATAACACTAGGCCAGGGACGAGATGAAATCACTTTCACCAAAAACAAACGAAACCAATCACGTCAAGTCAACGAGGCTACAACAACAAAAAAGCGGAAGTGGTCACGAAGATGTGTCAAAAGGAGCGGCGAGATAGCCCAATGTTTGAGCTCTTATACAAGAAAGTGTATAAGGAGGCTTTAAAAATGTTTGATAACTGAACCTCAGCAATAGAAACTCGAGAACTAAACATTTAACACACATTTTGAGTGAGACAATTCCTTTAGTGCTCCTTTTGATATAGGAGCATAGATTCAGCCGCAAAACTGAAAACGTTTCTAATAGTTTGTTTGTTTACTAGACGTTAAGTAGAGACAAATTAGATTGAGGAAAATTTTCCCGATAAAGAAACTTTCAGCTATTAGGATAAATCTATCAGCAAAGAGAAAAATCACCTGCAGCTGGGAAAAACCGTCAGCAGTTGCGAGAAACTCATCAGTATTTAGGATAAACCATCAGCTTTTGGGATAAAATTACCTGCTCCTGGGGTGTAATCATCAGCATATGGAGCGCCATCACCATTTGGCCAAAAACCATCAGCATTGGAGAACACCATCAGCAACAATTACAAAAAAATCATCAGCATTTGGGAAAAATCATCAGCAATTGGGAAAAATCATTAGCAATTGGGATGAATTACGCTACAACCATCAGCGATTGGGAGAAAATAATCACCAATTAGGGTAAAATTTTTAACTTTAATATTTGTTTATACTAATCAAAATCGATAAAATCGGCTTTACAGCCACTCACATCCAACGAAATTTGTTCCAATAGCTGTCTTAGAAGCGTTACTTGAGGAGTACTGGTTAACTGAGGAGCCAATTTTGGTGCGAGCTGAGTTATCCACTCATGGGTTAAAATTAGCCCGGATGTTAATTCTGAATCTAGCTTTAAAGGCTCTCAAACACCGGATCCCTATACAAGCTCCAACATAATGGGCTCAATATTATAGGTTTTAGAGGTAACACATGTATTCCGCAAAATTTTGCTGCTTAATTTCATTGAGGCAGTATTTGGAGCTGTACAAGGTTTTACCATTTGTTGCTGGATTCCACAACAGCAAAAATTTAACAAAAAACGAGGAAAAAACCTGAATGCGGATTCCTTATAACTATTTCGAGCTTTGGTGCGGAATGCTCGACAAACACAAAAAAGTAAATTTAGGCCTCGTAATGTATACATTCGCAGAAGCAAGCAAGTTTATCAAATAAAATTATAAAAATCAGAAATTCTAACGTTGCAAACCTATAAATTGGATGACAATTGAACCATGTCTACATCCCACAAGTGCCCGGTAGAACTATTTCCATTGAACCAAAGAATCAGTTAGACCGATCCCAAATTAAAATATGTAATTAAAATATTATTGTAATTAAAATATACGTACCAAAAAAAAACTTTTTTTTCCATTCGGAATCTATATGCATACCTTTTTGAAATCCTCAAGTTTTAGCACGCATAGATGAGAAGAAGATAATCAAGAATCTGCAACAAGAGTGAACAAACCGGTATACACTTAGCAAATAACTTAAAATCCGAGCAACAAAACCCAATCATAAAAAAGCTTAAATGTTGAAAAACAAAATTGGTGAACCAAAAATTTAGCATGTATCGATGAAGGACACCTAGGGCCCAACTAATACCGGAGGTATGTATTGGACATTTTTTTGAATTTGTTATACTGATGCGGGACGAAATGCGTAGTTTCAGAAATTGGACTTTGCCCAAAACCTTAGTTGTTTCTCTGCTAAAATAAGAGTATGTTGAATCAACCAGGAGTTTTACAAGAAAGTCCGGTCGAAAAAATCAGCCAGGAGTTTTACAATGACGTCCGGTCGACAGGGGCTTCCCTTGCCTGTCTCTACGGACTTGCTAAAGTCCACAAGAAGGACCCGCCGCTCCGTCCCGTGCTGTCGTTGCCTGGGAGTGTTTATTATAATTTGAATAAACATCTTTCTACTTTTTTGATGACATTGCAAGTGCGAACATTGAGTCTTCTACTGCGGACATGAAGTACCCAGCTCCAGGACGATGATGCGCTGATGTCTATGGATGTGGTCAGTCTCTATACGAAAGTGCCAGTACTGGAGGCCATTCAAACTGCTGCTGACAAATCTTTGTAGATAGCCCTCCTGCAATGGACAGGGACACCTTTGTGAGTCTTCTCACTCTCGCTGTGACTAACATCCACTTCATGGCGTGTGGTAAGTGGTTCCGCCAACGCGATGGTGCGGCCATGGGATCAAGTTTGTCTGTGATCTTGGCGAATTTGTGGCTCAGTGAGTTGGAGCCGTTCTCTCTGGCATCAGTGGGTAACCTGTGACTGATACCACGGTTGCTAACACTGGCCACTCTCACCTGTAATCGTTGTAGTAGAAGAGTTACCAAAGTGAGTTACTCCATTGAGTGTTACTTGTGTAATGTCTGGTACCACAGGAAGTGTGTTGGCCTTACTGTCAATGAAATAAAGGCCATCGGTCGGTCTGACTGCCCATGGCATTGTGGCTGTCAACGGCAGACATCTGCTGGAAGAATGGCTGTTCTCTCGCCTACGAGGATGTTTGGGATGTATGTGGATGATATTCTCCGCACGGCGAGGCCTCATGCGTTGGATGAAATATTGGACACTGCCAACAGCTTGCATCCTTCGCTGAATTTTACTATCGAACAGGAGGTCGATGATCAGTTACCTTTTCTTGACATGTGTGTGTAATGCAAAGATAACAAGTTGTCTTCCTCGTGGTATAGTAAGCCGACCGATACCGTTGCATCAACAACGCGACGTCCACGTGGCAGGCTTCCGATGCTGGTCTCTCCCAAGCGAAAGAGATGTTCGAGAGCAATCAGTATCCTCCTCCTCCTTTTTTGAGCCACTCATAACAAACACCATCAACAAGATCATAAACACCGATCAAATACAAAAGACCACACTAGTAGACAAGGAATTAAATCAAGACCAACGTTGATTATGGAATACATAGGTAACATCTCGGACCGGTTTAGTCGGAAGACCCGACAGCTTACGGGTGGTTGTACCATCTTTACCGCTAGGAAGCTGAAAACTGCATTACCATTCTTGAAGAGCTCCGTGGATAAAAAGTTCGAACTCGGGTTATTAATCGGATAACATGTCCTGGATGCGTGTCCAGTTGCGTCGTTCAGACGACCAGACACCTCAAGACCAGACTTACCGAGCATTCACATCTTACAGCTCCTGTTAGCATGCACTTCCAAGAATGTACCGGTAGCACCAGTGAAAATTCTGCTAAAATTATAGACGCCTGTGATAACCCTGCGAAGTTACATACACTGGAGGCTTTACATATCTCACGGAGGCAGCCGGCCCTGAATCAGAGGGAAGAGAACCGGCAACGCCACCTCACTCTGAAGATGTGATGCCTTTGCATACATGTTCTAGTCCCTGACAAGCTTGTTTCTATTCATTTCTTTCTTTTTGTTTTACTCATTGCCTGCTGTTTCTATCTACTAGTGGACGATGTTACCAGATTTTCAGAAGAACTTTAATACTGATGATGCAACTTTACGTTGAGATAACGCTTGAATAAGGTACTCCTTGATTGTCCTGTGTGATTTATTAAAAGAACAGTAAAAATTTCTGAGATTTTGGAATTTTCGCAATGACATAGCCTTTCTCTGCAGAAAATGAAGAGTAGCCGCTTCTGCCAGAAAAATTCACGCAACCGCTTCTTTCGACTAAAATTTCTTCTCAGATTTGATAGAGTAGTTTTTAAAAAATTCAAAAAAAGTTCCAAAACATCGGTCTAAGTTCAAAAGCTTGACTGACTGTCCGAAATCTGTAACATTTTCTGCTAAATGCAGGTCGTGACCGGTTAAGTAGAGAGAGTTCCCAAAATCGGGTTTATCAATTGAAAACTTAACCTGATAATTGGTAATTTACGAGCAAAAAAAATTACACAAAAACTTGTTTGATGGCCATAACTGTTTTTCTTAAAGAAACTGGGCGTAGCAAAAATCAACTGGGCGAACAATAATTTTCGAGTAGAGTAAAAAAAAACTTCCAAAAAACTTGTTTGAAGGCCAAGAATTTTCTTTAAAAGAAACCGGGCGTAGCAAAATAAAAATTCAGCGAAAATAAAATTCGGTAAAATTCAAAAAATATAGAACAATAAGTTTTTGTGTAAAAAAGATGTGAGCTAGTGCAGGGGAGCTTTCTACTACCTTTTATCTCAAAGAAAATTTGGGCGTAGCCGCTTATGGAGGGGGTGAACTTTTCAAATTCTTTCTATTCATTAAAACCAATATCTCAGATTTGGTTGGTTAGTTTTTGAGAAAACGAAAAAAAAATACATCGGTCCAAAAAATACATCGGTCCGAAAAAGAAATAGGCGGCGGTGTTTCTTTATGGAAAATCGATAGAAGGGTTTTTGAGAAAAATTTTTTTTTTATTGCAAAAAGTGATGAAAATTTCGAAAGCGTCACAAACAGAAAAAAATTAAAAACCAATCCCATGCACTTCCACAATAGCTGTTTTTATCACACAAAAATTTAAAGCAACTATGCCAAGCAAGACATTCAAAATTCAAACTAACAACACAACAGAACTAAAGAAGCGGAAACAAGGCCGACAACCTTTCAGCAGACGCCAGTTGAGCCGAAAAAAAAGCTGACTTTGTTAAAAAAACTTCTTAATGTTCAAGTCCCCTTGAAGCTACACTGTAGTAACTAGCACACGCCCAGCAGTTAACCTTGAATTTTCTTGAAATTGAGCAGGTCAGCTGCATTCTGATTCAACAGATTTTGTTAAACTAGTTGTTAACCCGAAAAACTGTAAGCATTCCAGCGTAAAAAAGCTGCAGAAAGACGAGAAAAAAAAACATTCCAAATTAGGGGAAGGTATCACCAGAACTCGGTAAACTTTTGTTGCATATTGCAAGAATGGCTTCTGTAACTAATATTTCAGTGAAATATGAGGATTCAAGAAAAACGTGTTTGGACGTCCTTTTCAACCTATGAGACTAAAATAAAAAAGAGTTTAACTTGCACCTCCGTCGCTTCAAAAAAATTGATGAATGCTAAATTTGTTTATATATAAAATAAGAAAAAAAGAAGATCTTCATATTCTTAACTCAGATAAAACCATAACTGTATTCGATTTTTAAAGAAAAACTCTGACTTAAACGATTTCATTTGTGAAATCACTATTCTCATAAATGACATTCTTGTATAACTTAGTTAACGATTTTCATCAGTCCGCACGTATAGCATTTGCTCCGATCAATCGTTCAATCCACCGTAGTTAAAAACACTTTTTAGTTTATTGAAAGATTTAAAACTCATAATAAAAAATCGTCGTATCTCGGTCATATCAACAACTATGAAAAATTGAGCATTCTTAATCAGAGGCCACATGTGGCCTGGGAGTACCAAAAAAGCACCACAACATAGGTCAGAAAGTCTGAACTTTTTATTGAAAACCTGAGAGAACAACACCTCAAACTTCGAAAACTGAAAAAATTTGAGCAGTCAAATTTGGACGCCATATCTACAACCCTTAAATAAAATTTGACATCAACACAACAAAAAGTCGAGCATTTCAAATTCTATCTTTTAAAACTTTTTTGATATCTTCTTTAGAAAAATTATAAAAAACGGCATATTATGTAAACTAGAAGGATTTGAGTTGTTATATTTGAAAGCAAAATTTGAAACCAAAAATTTGAAATTTGTTATATTCGAAAGCTAAATTAAAAGGGCTTTAATACGATATATCATTTTTTTTAAAACTTAAATACACTCGAAACTAAGTTTCTCCTCATTTCCAATGGTCGGAAAAATAATTCAAATTAATCGTAAAAAATTGAAACAGACTATTAACAATAAACTGCAGTAGCTAATTTACTAAATAATTCTATTTTAAAAAAAATATATATTGAAGATACCAATCAGTCATATTGTGTGATTAAGATTGTGAGTTCAGCTGAAAGCAACAAATCATCAGGAGCTTTGATACACCTCAAAAAACGATTATGCCAGAAAATAAACTAGAGCTATTATATATCAGAAAAAGAACTGGAAATCATTAGCTGAGCTCTGATTTTGAAATGTCAATAATCAGACTATCTTTTAAACAGATAGTTCACTGAGCAGAGGTTCCGAAACAATGGCTACCGCAATAGCTGCAATCAATTATGATTTTCATTTAAATCATTAGTTTTCCAACAAAATCGGAACCAGTTTTCAAGTTCCTTTTTTATCTAACTACAATGGTAACCACAATTCATCCAACTGAGAATTGTGACTAATGCTTGACACACTTGAAATTTAGCTCAGTTACCAGAAAAAAAAACCCAGATTACGCATCGTTCGAGAAGTTAGGAGACTTATTTTTCCTCTAGCATAGAAAAGTATTTTGCACGCTGTGCTTCTAAATCAATTAATCGCTCAACTTTGCCGGTAGGGGGCCTCTAATTTGGTTCACGACAGGCGTACTGACACTAGATTAGAAACATTTTCAAGAAACTGCTTCCCCCGCAAGGCAGCATTTTCTATCAGCCGGAAAACTTTCACGAGAGCCGGCAACATCAAGTTAAATTAATTAATACCTGCTTGTTGGCATTTTTAGACGCAAGAGAAAGCAACTGAGTGAAGTCCATACTGCTATATTCTATTCCACTTCTTCAATATAGACCAATAGGAGTCCAGAATATCAGAATTGATATATTATTACTGATCTACATGTCGTCTATTTTTTGAGCATGCCATCTGAAAACAAATTCGAAAACTGAAATTGAAGTAACTATAAGTAAGGTTATTTATGTCGTATCATGATGTCAGTGGTGTTTGACAACTATTTGAAACTGGATTTTGCAATGTCCTCTTTATCAGATAATTTGACCTATCAAAGAACTTGACATATCCAATAATTTGACCACCACGGAGGCTACTCCGATTTATTCATAAGATTTACGAAAACAATCACAACTATAGAATCACAGAAACTAGAAACAGACTAGTCCACTTAATAAGATTGATCTGTAACTGAAAAATAATCACAGAAAAATGATGGCACACCTTGCTCCGTATTTTAGATCACACACTTTCACCCTCTCACACTTTTAGATCTCACACTTTCACCCAAAAGCAAAACGGAGCTTCACCCCGCGTGCGATAGATTAAATGAAATGCGATGTGAAGTAAAACTTAATCGCAATCAATTTTTTCTCTTTAACACTTTGAAATCATGAAAACACATTTGAAAACTCAAAACAAGCGATGGAATCAACTGTGATTTAAAACCAGATAAGATCAAAATTTCAGATAGTTTGAAACATAAGACTCCATTCATTTCTTTCTTGTGACTAAGAGTAAACTAAACACAGAGGCGAAGTTGCTCTTCGCACCACTTGAGATACAACAAGTACACGGTTGAAGCAGCATGACGCTCAAGAACTAGCAAAGAGGACTTCGAAAGCTGCTGCCTCTAAAAAAAATCTAGAAAAACGAAAAAAAATCGAAAGCTATTTTTTTGTGTTAACTTATTGAACCGTTTTAAAGAGGTCCCAATGGTGTTTAATTTGAGTATTCGAATACTTGGCGCCAGGGTCTCATCGATTTCATAATTTTTCTTAGAAAATTGTTGAAAACAATATATTTGGTAAATGAGCCGACGAAATTTAAGCCGGCAGTCAATAATCTGAAATTCAACCGAAATAATTCTGTAAAAAAATTGATGAAAACATGTACTGCCCATATATTACGCACGAGTGCAATATATGTTCTGAATGAAAGGTGGTATACACGGGGCTGTATATATTAGGCGAAAACTATATAAGGCGAAAATAAAAGTGTTAAATTTGGGCGAACATTTTGATAATAAACGTGTGTATTTTGGCAAAAATACCCCTAATTTTCCAGACGACATTGACAAGAAGCGGTTAAAGGCTACTAAGCCCTTTGTCGGTTCAAGGTTGCCGGTGGGCTTGCTGGCGATAATCGGCTCTAATTTTCGTAAAGAGCCCTACCCTCTGAAGGCAAGCGCGCAACACGTTGTCGCGACTGCAGCGGTCACTATTTTACCGTTGATTTGCTTTTTGAATAATATTACGTGTGTTTTGAATGAAGCAATGGAATGACGCAAGTAATCACGTACAGTTTCTGCTAAAATGTACCTTTTTTTAATAAATATGTTCGCCCAAGTTTAAAAATTTTATTTTCGCCTAATATAGTTTTCGCTTAAAATGCCCTCGGTATACACAAATCAAAAACTCAGCCGAGAGCGTAATCTACAGCAATAAAGCTGAAAAAACATAAACCAAATAATAATAATATCAAAATTCTTTTATTATACATGCAAACAGATATATCAAAATAAAAACAGAGGTGAAGCAGAGCTTCTGAAAAAACTAGGTGAACCAAAAATTTAGCATGTATCGATGGAGGACACCTTAGGCCCAACTAATGCTGGAGGTATGTATCGGATATTTTTTGAATTTGTCATACTGATGCAGGACGAAACCCGTAACTTCAAAAACTGGACTTTGACCAAAACCTTAGTTGTTTCGCTACTAAAGTAAGTGAGAAGTGAAAAAACGTAACCTTTATCTTGCAGAAAAAATAAAGAGTAGCCGCTTCTCCAGTAAAAATTCGCGCAACCGCTTCTTTTAATTGAACGCAGCGGTTGCGCGAAAAACAGGTCGTGATCAGTAGAGCAGATAAGTTTACCACAATCGAGTTTCGCGATTGAAAACTTAACCTGAGAATTGGCACGGTCATTTTCGAGTAAAGTACGAAAAAATTCCAATAAACGGTCAAAGTTTCAAAACTTTCACGAAATTGAAGGCCATAATTTTTTTCTAAAAGAAACTTGGCGTAGAAAATTACAAAAGATAAGCTTCCAACAACCTGTTGTGTCGATTAAACCTATGATATTTCCGAGAATCATAGCTTTTTGCTTAACAAATTTGGGCGTAGCCCCTCATGCAGAAGAGAATCACACAACCTAACATTTCAATTGAAGCCAACAACCCAGGTTTGGCAGGGTAGTTCTCGAGTAAAATCAAAAATTTCAAAAATGGTCAAAACAATCAAATTTTTGATTTTTCTCAGGGCAAAATTTTTTGTGTCCGAAACAATTTTCCAGAAAAGTCAAAGATTCAAAAACAGTCAAAAAAATAAAAATTTCACTATTCCGAGGGCCATAATTTCATGTTTAAAAAGTTGGGCATATCTGCTCATATAGGTAAGCTTTTGGAATCTGTTCTATTCAACGAAACCAAAATCTCAGATTTGGTAGGTTAGTTTTTGAGAAAATGAAAAAATCGAAAACATCGGTCCGGCCCCCACGGACTTTTTTGAAGGCTATGGAAAAAAGGATAAAACAAAAAAGAGACTAAGGGTGTATGCAGGCACACACGTGTTTACGAGGTCTTTCTATGAATAACCCTTTATAGAAGATCAGTAGAAAGTTGAGAAAAAAAACTAAATTTTTTGCAAAAAGGGGTAAAATTTTCCGTAGCTTGTAGAAAAAAGCAATTAAATAAAAAACTCAATCCCATACATTTCACAATACCTATTTTCATCAAACAGGAAATCCAGGCAAACATGCCAACAAAAAATTTGATTGTCAAATTATCAACTCAACAAAACTTACGTAGCGGAAACAATGCCAAAAATCTTTGAGCAGACACCAGTTGAGCCGAAAAAAAAAAACGGATTATATAAAAAATTTACCTCTAGTAACTATTACCCACCGAATGATTGAACTTGAATTTTGTAGAGGATACAAGCTGCATAGCATCATTAAAATCGCCTATATGATAAGCAATAATTGAACTTGAAATTATTCAACTGATTTTGTTAAACTAGTCGTTAACACGAAAAACTCTATATTCGTTCGATAACACTTGCTAACCGCAAGCGTAATGGACATAGTTTAGTTAACATGCCATTCAACAGAATGCGAAATTAGCATCAAAGTAAAACAATCAAATTAAATCAAAGTAAAACAAAGTAAAAATTAAGTTCCCCTCTCCCTCAAAGCCCACACTTGTACTGAAAATTTTTCGCTCATCAAAAAACACAATATGAGCCCTAAGAACAAAAATATTTACGGAAATGGGTCCAGTTATATGAGTCATGTGAATAAATTTATTCACGGAGAAAAAGTCAAGTACCCGATTGCAACACCCTTGCTTATCGCAAGGGTAAAAAATAAATTGAAGAATTAAAAAACTCTCAAATCGTACAGAATTGAAGCAAACTTTATTCCAAAAAATGGCCAGATTATTGGATTTCATTTTCCTACTAGCTACTTGGATTCTGCGGGAAAAAAATTAAAGTCGGAACGATAAAACTGGTGAATACAACGAATTCAACATCAGAGAGAAATTTACAAAGTCAAAAAATCTCTGCAGGCACTGAAACCATCAATTTAAATAAGTCGCTCATTGAGTAAGAAAACTTCATTATTAAAATTGAAAAATGGTTAAAGATGAAGCTAGCAAAGCCAATGACTAATCAAAAATATGAAATATCAGTCGATTAGTTTTTTAGAATAAAACTGAATATTGAGTGAAAACGAGGAGGTTTTTCTCCATGATAGTTCGCCAGGATACTAACAACAAAAAAGCTTATCCGTGCATATTTCTTGCTGCAACTGTAGCTTGCTGAGAAAGTTGAAGTTCGAGTCGTTTAAAAAAAATCCATTTTAAAACAAGGACAGCCAGTTGCTGTACAAATAGCACTATGTTACGACCATAATCATAAAACAAAAATGAAAAGGTTTTACTTTTTTCAATTTAAGGCGTTGTTTGTATGCGGTGCGATGAGAAATTTACACAAACGTTTATAAATTAGTGAATTAGGCAAAATGAAAAAAAAAACATTTTTTTATACAATAATTTTAAAGTAATTTAAAAAACTTTGCCTAAGGAAGCACTGAATTAAGCTAAATTTTTGTCTAAGAAGCGCTAAATCGTTTTCGTTTAAGTAAAACTAAGTTTTCTCAGACAATAAAGGTTACTCGATTGCTTTACTCGCTCGAAATTATCCTGAAACTCGAACGGTTTCTCGACCATGGGAAAATTGTTAAAAAGTCTTGAAATCACGGTCAAAAGAATTTTAATATAGTATATCACTCGACGCAATCCGATGATTATTTGTGGTACCTGATTTTGCGTTGAAAACGAAACAAAAAAGCTAAATTGCACCAGAATATAAAGTTCCTCCTCATTTTCAATGGTCGGAACAAAAAACGTTGCGAGCAAAGCAAGCTTACCTTTTTGCTAGTCCAAATAATATGCTTATCGAGTCTATCAGAAAACACACCTTATTGTCGAGCAACCACTTTGATTTCCCTGCTAACAACCTCTAGTACGAATGTTCATTGAACTATCCCTACCTCCCCAACACTTCCTCAAAGTTTAGCTGGTAAATTACTCAAGCAGTAAAGCAAATGTTTGAGAAAATGGAATCAAGAGAGTGTTTTTACCGTAAGAAGAAGGGACAACACTTTACACTTTTGGATCCAGAGAAGAAGCAGAGCTTCACACAATTTGCGATACAAAAACGAATGACTCACTATTTGCAGATGTTCTGACAAATCAAAAAATATAAAATTTGCAAAAAAAACTGAAACTTTATAAAGGAATTACCTGTACCTTTAGAAATTTTACAAAGAAAGGTGAATCAAAGCATCGCACTACTCGTGATAAAACCCATATATAAACCGGTAACAGAGCCGACAAATTTTGAGCAGATACAAGGAGCGCAGAAAAAAATTATTTTTATTAGAGAAAACTTAAGAACGTCCCCTCAAAACATTAAGGTAAAACTATTTGGCTCCTTAACCGACCTAAAAACAGGCATCTAAGCCAATTAATTATCAGCCGAAACCTTTTAAGCCTAATAAAGGGAAAAAGAGAAAAGACTAACAAAAAAACGGATATTCTAAAATCGTAGTTCATTAAATTACAACCATTATGAAAAAATAATAGAATAGAACGGGCATTTAAAATGCAGTCATGCTCAAAAATTGTCAGTTCTCCATCTGTCTGTTCGTTGACGAAAGTTGAGATGACGATGACTACAAGTTCAGAACCCGATTGCAATACCCGTAATTGCTTATCACAAAGTTAAATACTCGAAGACCCAAATTCTGCGGCCAAAACATCAAACTTTTATACCAAACTCCAAATAGTGACAGAAATTACAAAATAAAATAGCGTGCAAAGCTAGCCAACAAACGGAGACAATATATTTTGACAATATAATTTTGAAATATACTTTCGCTAAAGGTATTTTGCATGGAAAATTTACATTTTGAAAAGCAGTTTAAGAAAAAAATAGAATTTATACACAGAGGTGAACCGGAGCATCACATCCATTTCGATACAAACAAAGCATTGCAATCTAGCGAACGAACATAAAATGAGACGCAAAACATTAAGTTGATTCAAACATTGAAAAATATACGAAAAAGTTTCATACCCAAAAATGTCATATAATGCCTCGAATGATGTTCAATGATGAGAACAAGAAAAAATTAGTAGATAAACAATGAACCGAAATTTTTACCGAACGAAAACTTGCCAAATTTTGCAAAAAAAAGGTCCTGGATGCACTAAAACTGATAACAAGTGTTCCACAGAAGACCGGGAAATTAAATTAAAATAGCAAACAATCGAAAGGATTCGCGGATTATGTTCGACAACTTGTTTACATGGAAACACGTCTATATTCTGATTTGATAATGGTGTCTAATTTCAAGCATAATCAACACTGAGAACAGTTTGGATGCGTTAAATTTGCCAACACAACTTGGTAGCGCGTCCATTAAACCAAAGAAAAATTTTGGAGTAAAAAAATGTTGATCCGAAAAGCTTTGAAAATTCCACTACTCGCGTGCGTCAACAGTGGTTAAAAACACGTATTCAGCTTTTAAGAGATATTTTATGGTTAAGCAAATAAAAAATCCGAAGAGAAACTTCAGCTAAGAACTTGATGTACAAAAACAAAGTGACCTGAATACCAGTTGTAAAACATGTGTTGAAGAAAAACAAGGGTATTTGGAACATAATGCTACTGAAAAATAGTCCAATGTATTTTAAACAAAATAGTCGAAAAATTTTATCTGTCAAAATTTCACATGCTTTGTCTGGAAAAATTCAACAAGATATCCCGGAATTCTATTTCAAGGCATGCTGATAACAAAGTTAATTACGGTGGGAAAAGTTACTAATCGGTGGCAAAACCCTTACTTATCGCACGGATAATAAAGCTATTAAGAGTTGCTAAACTAAAATAGCTACTTTTAGTAGCTTGATTATCCGTTATGCTCCGATTTAACAACGCAAAATTAATGCAATCACAAACTTTGTGCTATCTAGTGTATTGTTTCATCGAGCTACCAGTGCAGAATTTTCAAGCGCGCTAGGTCTTGAGATATGCTAAAGCATCGATTTGTGACTTTGAACTGTTCGGTAAATTTAAAAGCACGTCACTCAATTTTTTCAACTTATGGCTTCAAATTAAGACAGGAGTTTCAACGATACAATCTATATCATCAATTTGAATAGCCATTCAAAACATTTCCCTTCTTTTTCATTGAAGCTTAATCTATTAGCCGCTAGTGAAGCTTACTATAAAAACTTCAGCAGAAAAAATAAATTTGCATCTTCAGGTCAAAATTCAATCATATCAAAAAAGGAAGGCGCAGTGAGCACAACAAGCACATCAACACTAACTGAGTCTGCACATATGCAAACTCATTGAACAGTGTGAAAAAGTCCTGGAAAGGAAAAATAACAAATGGGCGAACAATATCAGCACAGAGATGAAAATTAAGACCTCCGGTAAACCGAACATGGATGAACACATCGCCGTTCTAAGCAAATGGCAAGCCCCCTACTTTACCCAAACACCCACCCATAAAAGCCAATGAATCAGTGGTAAAAACACTTGATGAGATCAGATAAATTAACACTATAAAATGTCGAACCGAGCTTCTCTATCAAATCATATCTTCTGCAATTTTAGCCCAAACTGATCCATTAGACAGAGTTTAATCCCATTTTTGGGGGCCTGAACATTTTATGAAATATAATTAACGATTGCTTGAGTCATCCTGAGCGGTTCATCCAGCTCGAACATTTTGGATATGAGCTTTGGCCAGCAATTTCGAGCTATTGAATGGCAACCCTAAGAAAAAACATTAGTTCTAGCGACGAGTTTGTCTTTCAAAAATAATCTCTATTCATTTTCAAGAAACCATTCTTAGGGTTGTTAATTTGATTCCAAATTTTTCAAGAATATCAGCAAGGCACAAAAAATTAAACGACTCGAACAGCTAAATCATTTTCCAATCCATCAAGTTTATTTTTCAAAACGTTTTGTTAACCTAATTAATTTTTCGTACTATTAAATGTTAAAAGTTCATTATCGTACAACTCAGCATAATCTCAAAAGATCAAAAACAGCAGTCAGCAAAACACAAAATATCGAAAAAAAGTCTAAATAGAGCACCAAAACAGCAAACTGCATAGCAGAGAATAATTTATCGTACCAAAATAAAGTGTCCTGAAACCACAGATGAAAGGAGCAAATAATACAAAATAACAGGCAGTCATAAAATATTAATTTGAATAAACTGTATATAAATTGTTGTTGATCTTTTGTCTATCTTTTGCTTCCCGGCTTCGTCGTTTTCCTGGTTGCCGTTCGTATTCTTCTATTCGGCAATATGGAATCGTTCGCGACTGTTTGACCTATTGAAAAAGCAGCGGGTCCTGTTGCAGCCATTCCTGGTTGTTGGGTAGTAGCTACGTTACTAGATCCTCCCCCAAACGTCATTGCACCCGCATTTGCGGCACCTAAATAGAAGAATTCAAATTTTAATCACATCTCTATTCGCCGCTCGCTGCTGATCTCTTGGCTAAAAAAGTGGGCAATTAAATGTTCTACTTGTTGACCTAGGTGGTAAGGTGTGTTTTCCACCTTAGCCACGTCAAGAAAACCTCGTAAGCTGCCAAGTGTGATATCATACGTAAAACCCTATTTGCCAAGGTTCGAGTTCAAAAAATAGTCAGCCAAAAGTTGTAAAAGTGCCAATGAACAAGGAATATACAAAATCTATATTAAACAATTTTTTGAACTTTTTCAACGTTCGAATTTTCTTGAAAAAAAACTCATAACGTTGAAGCTCTTCAACTTCAAGAATCGTTTCTGACCGGCACCTTTTTCATACTTCCCAATTACAAAAAACTGGTTCAATGGGTAATTTTTTCCGCAGGAAATCTTTTTTCGCGCCATGTATATTTTTTAATCAGAGAGCGTAATTGGCCTTCCTTTTAAAAAATGAAATTGAATTGCTCTGAAAAACTCAGAAGTCAAAACACAAAAAGTCTACCTGAACAAAATCAAGCTAAATAAGTTTCTTCATTGCGTCCATTTACAATTTAAAAACTTTCACACAGAGGCGAAGTTGTGCTTCGCACCATTTGCGATATACAAGCAGCAAACTGCTAAGTCAGAAACAATTAAACAGATTTCGAACCCAGGACCATTGCCATTTCAGGCGTATTCGTAACCTCCAGGCCAAGTGAGCCGGAGACGCAAAAAAACTTGAATTCAATATGAATTGAACCCAAATGAACAATTCTAATTTGACCATTCTGTGAAAAAAGTTAATTGCGGGAAAGTCTAGTACCCGATTGCAATGCCCTTGCTTATCGCAAGGGCAATTCAAAAAGCAATTGACATTTTTTTCAAATTTCGTTTTCGGAGAAAAAAAACATCACGTTAAAACTCTTAAGAACGTTCATGATTGGCACTTCTCTTTAGACTAACCCAATTACACACAACTGGGTCGAAAGATAATTTCTATGCCGCTGGGAATTCTGAAAAAAAAAAGAATTTTGTAGTCTGAAAGCAAATAAATTTGAATTATTGAAGAAATCAAAATTCAAATCGGGAACTTATTATTTCAGCGTAGGCAACTTGAAAACTTATTCCTGAAAAAAATACACTTCCTACATAACTGATTACTTCCGACTACTTTCATTGACACTTAAAGATTTTGGTCGGCGCATTCTGTGCTAATTCGACAAGAAATAGCTCTACTGTATTAATAGCTTAATTTAAAAGGTTAAAAGGTGAACGTTAGTTTTTTTTTGAGCATTTTAGCTCCGTTTTGGAATCAAAATCTTCAAAAAAAACTGCAATAAAATTTTCTTTTTATTTATTTTTTTCCATTTTTCCATTACTCTTTCCACAAAAATTGCTTTTCAATGAGCTCATTTGACTATTACTGTCGAATATACCAGTTTTTTGTTCAGCTCCTTTTATCACACCACGCCAAAAAAAACGACAATAATTTGAAAAAAATTGTGTTGTGTTTTTTTAGACTATGGTCGGAACACTCTCTGCTACCTGCACAGTAACCGGCTATCCTTTTTTGTTTTGCATTTTTCTTTTTCAGCGTAGCGAGATAGGATCAGGGTGACCAACCAATTTTCGGAAAAAAACCGACCTGACATTTGCTCAAAAAAACTATCAGCGTTTTAGGCACTTTTTGACAAAATTCTGACTAAATAAATGCGTTTTTCCCCCTAAAAAACAGAACATAGTCTCCTTAAAAACTTAAGAGTCGTTCAGCCAAAAAAGCATGTTCTAAAATCGTACCAAGGAAAAACCACGAAACAGTATCATAATTAACGATTTTTTAAAATACCGACCAAATATAAATACTGACCACTACCGACTGTTCGGTAATTATCGACCAGATGGGCACCATGAATATGATTGAAATTAGCAATCATAGCCAACAGACAGTTGGAAAACAATCAAGGAGCTCAAATGAACAAAAAACACTGACTTGTTTTTTTGAAAAAATTTTAAAATTCGAAAACAGTGTTCTTGAAGCTCGCTGATTTCTAGACTAAATAATGATTGACACTTTTTTGATAAAAGCAACTTACTTGGACAAAACTGGATCAATAGCTAAATTTTTTTAATTCGCTGGGAAATCAGGAATATTATATTCCACTTTCAAAATTAAAATCAATGACGTTCTTCGTCACCTTTACACTTTTTCTGTTCAATAGTGGACTTTCCCTTTCTTTTAAGAAATAAAATTATCAGAACTTACAAATTAATCAAAATCAAAACGCGAAGAAAAAGTAAATTTGGCCCTGAACAAATTTCAAGACTTTTCTTCAAAAAAATTAAGAAAAAATCATCACGACCTATATAAGAGTCTGAACGATGATCAGCAACTCCTTAAAAAAATGCTGGAATAAGCCTTAATGAGGCCGTCGATCTTTACGATCTCAGATTTTTTAGCCTCCAGATTTTCTTCACGACTCTTCGAGTCGTCAGTACATACAGCCAACAGACAGTTGGAAAAGAGCCAATGAACGCAAGTAAACATAAAAAACTCTCTTCTTTCGAATTTCCAAGAAACAGATGCCAGCTCTTTGATTGCTAGAAGAGTATATGATTGAATATTTTTTTCATAAGAGAGAACTGGGATCAATAGGTAAAGTTTTCATTTGGCTGGGAAATGTGATAATTAATTTCCATTTTGGAAATTAGAAGTCGATCACGTTTTTCGTGACCTTTACAATTCCTTTGTTTGATTGCGGAGTTTGCCTTCTTTTAGCAAAGGAAATGAACTGAACTTAAAAAGAAATTCAAAATCAAACCGCGAAAAACTAAATTTGAGCCTAAACAAATTTTGACTTTTCCTGATAAAAAAACATCGCGACCTATATTAGAGTCTGAACTACGGTCAACGACTCTAACAAGATTAGACGGTTGTTATGCCATCAGCACAAAATCTTCAAGTCTCACATATATCTCAAAACATCTTGAGACATTTTTAGCAACTTCATGAACAGCACGAAAGAGATCAAATTAGGCTTTAAAATTTAAAATAAATTGAAACGAATCCCATTCCGGCGTTCATCGACTCTCTTAAAAACAAAACACTTCTCGACAAAGACTTTCAAAATATATATTCGGAATCCGAATGATGACTTAAAGGGTGTTGAAATGATCCTTCCGTGGACGATTACCCCGAGATCCTTGTTAGAAGTACCTGAAAATGCCTAGAAAAAAATCACTTGGGTCATTAACCCTTCCCATTCATAGGGAGGTCAGAACAAGCTGAAAATCAGGAACTCCTATTCAAGTTTGGTATATAGACAATTGATCATCTAAAACATCTAATTTCAACGGCAACATATAGGCATGCGATCATTCAACCTTTTCAGCACTAACCAAAATTGAATGCTGGCGCAGGCTGATTACTGTTCGCACCTTGTCCAAATGTAAATGAAGGAGCACTGGGTGCTGCAGTTCCAGACGAAATACTTTCCAAGGAACCTAAAAAACAGTTCGCAATTTTAAAGAAACATACTAATGACTAGAAATTTCGTTGAAAAATAAAAAAAACAAATTCAACTCACTTTGTCCAAAAACAGGTGTCTGAGTATTGCTGGCACCTGAGTTTCCAAATAGGGATGATGTCGGGTTTGAGCCCGTGTTTGGGAAAGTTGTGGTCGCGCTGCTACCCCCGAATGAAGGAGCACTGGATTTACTGGCTGAATTTGATCCGAAAATGTTCTGTGAGCCAAAGGTTTGAACTGGGGCGTTGCTTGTACCATTAATGCCTCCAAAAATATTGGAAATGCCAGGCGATGCGGAAGTCGTCGAAGATACTCCTCCAAACATAGTAGAAACTTGTGATGAATTATTTGACGCTGCTGCTGAGTTGCCTCCAAAAGGTGTAGCAATAGATGATTGTGTCGTCTTCTGTTGAAAGGAACCAAAAGTTGAGTTTGCTGTTCCTCCGGCGCCAAACAAAGCAGGGGCTGCATTTTGAGAACTTGAGTGGTTGTTATTACCTCCAAAAGTGAATGTACCACTGGTATTTGATGCAGTGGTTGACAGACCACCAAATTTGAACATACTAGTAGCCGAACTTTGACTCGACGAGTAGAAGGCACCAGTGAACATAGAGTGTCCTCCAAAAGGAGCAGTTGCACCAGCTGCAGGCTGTGCACTAGCAGCAGCCGGGAACCCAGCTCCAAATATAGGAGCAATCACTGCAGTAGGAGCCGCACTTGTTGCAGCAGGCTTCGAAGGAGCGCCAAAGAGATTCGAAACAGTGCCATCAGTAGCAGGAGCTGTGCTCTTGGAAGGTGTCGATGAAAACGAGAAATTTGACTGGAAAGGAGTCGCAGTCGCGGACGTTACGGATCCCGAACCAAATATTGACGCAGTTGACACTGTTGATGCCACCGAGGTACTGACACCATGGTTAAATAAGTTTGTTCCTGAAGCAGCAGTACCCGGTAATGTCAAAGATCCCGTTGTTGACTTCGTTAATTGACCGAACATATTCGATCCTGACGAAGGTTGCAAACTTGCAGGTGCATTACTTCCAAAAAGCGAACTTCCTGTAAAACTGCTGGCGGATGGTCCTGTAGAGGCACTTGCTTGCGTAGATGGTGTTAACGAAAAATTTCCCGACTTCTGGTCTTCGGCCTTTGGACCAGTTGGATTTGCAAACGTACCGAAACTCATAGTATTCACAGCGTTGTTATTAGTCGACGGACTGAACTTGAAGTTTGCCATGGGCCCTGCCGACGATACGTTTGGTGCTACTGAGCTGGCTACAGCTGGACTTGAAAATGCAAAAGAAGCTGGTTTAACAGACGCTGCTGTAGTTGAGTTTGTAGAAGGGCTGGATTGATCTGTATTGGGAGCTCCGAATTTAAATGTCGATAAACCAGATCCAGTTAGCGATGAAGCTGATGTACTGAACTGTGGCGTGAAGGAAAAGGAGGGAATCGACGGAGCAGCGGATGACATGTTCGAAGATTGTTGTGTACTTTCCGTTAGTTTTGCTCCAAAGTTGAAACTAGGAACCGCGCTTGTTTTTGGAGGAACAACCGACGAATTGAAATTGATGCTTCCGAAAAGTGAAGATGAAGTTGTGACTGACTTCGCAGGTTCAGAAGCTGCTGATACAGGTTGATTTGAGAAATTTATCGAAGGTTTGTTCGCAGTTTCGCTTACTGTTCCGTTTGTTTTTGGCGCTTCCGGCAAACTCTCAGCTGGTTTGGGCAGCGCAACTGCTGAGCAACCTCCGTCTTTTGACATTCCGAAAGCAGTATTCTGAATCAACGGAGCAGACGTGAAACTTGGTACACCCGTGGCGATCTTACCAGTTACTGATGACATCATAGTTTGACTATTGTGGGTGTTCTGAATTCCTGTTGTCGTTGTTGCGCTGTTTGAATTCGAAGCTGAGCTCGCAAAAACGGCAGCAAATGAAACTGTTGAAGAAATAGGTGCATCATCAGCGGTTTTAGTCTCGGTTGTCTGGGCAGGTTTGAACGAGGAGGTGGACCCAAGCAAACTTTTGTTCACCTTAGTCACTAAAACTTTGATTAAGGTCAGAAATTTGTACACATCCTATTGATATGCTGTAACGAACCCGATGAACAAAACCTCAAACTTACCAGCTGTTATCTCGTCATCCAATCCCATTAATCTTCGCACTCGCTCATTTTCAAATTCCTGGTCTCGCTCAAAATCTTTCCTGTTAAACTGTCTCACCTGAAACAACACTATAAAATAAACAAATAAAAATAGATGTCAAAAAAACATATCCAACAGACAGTTGGAAAAGAGTCAATCAACGCAATTAAACAGAAAAAAAATACCAACTTGTTTTTAGAAAAAAAAACTCAACTTTCGAATTTCAAAAAATATATAAGGCTAAAAGTTCTTTGAATTTCTAGAACATTTCTATGACTGCTACTTTCTCAATAAAATTGACCCAATTTGAGAAAACTGGATCGATAGGTACATTTTTCAATTCGCTGGGAAAACTGAAAATTAAATTGTACTTTCAAAACTAAAGTTCGATGGTGGAATTAGCCTTCCTTTTAACAAGGAAATTAATTAACCTTAGTACGAAATCAAAGTCAAGCCACAAAAAAATAAAATTGAGCCTGAACAAACCTTAAGACTTTCCTAAAAATAAAATAAAACAAGGATAGCCGGTTACTATGCAAGTGGCACAGAATGTTCCGACCATAGTCTTAAAAAAAGTTTTTTTTTCAAAATATCGACGTTTTTTCCAGCGTGGTGTGATAAAAGGAGTTGAAGAAAAACCTGGAGATTAGGTATATTCGACAGCCATAGTAAAATAAGCAAATTGAAAAACAAACTATTTTTAGAAAAGTTACTTGAAAAAAGAAAAACTCAAAATTTTTTAAGTTTTGCAGTTTTTTAAATTTTTGAAACTTTTGATTCCAAAAAGGCGCCTTAAAAACTCAAAGTAAACTAACGTTACTCAAGTAAATTAAGTTTTTACGTTTTACATTAAGCTATTTTAATCTTTTAAGCAGTTAACATAAAACTGCTCGCTCGCTTTATTCGCTGGAAACAAGACAAAAAATTTAAAGCCCGTTTTTCTCGACACGGGGGAAAATGTATCGAATTTTTTTATGTGTCTCGAATCACGACTGTAAGGGCTTTATGATATACCACTCAACCCAGTCCGATGATTATTTGTGAAACTTGATTTTGCGTGGAAAAAAACTACGCTCATCAACTCTAAAACATTTAAGACAACGATAATCCGACTATTGAATTTTTCCAAAAAGAAAAACATTTCAAATTCCACGCATTAGGTCCAGCTGGGACTCGAACCCTAGACTTTGTAAATCGAAGGTGCGTGCTTTACTCCTAGACTAATTAAGAGAGTCCTGGAAGATTTTGACCTTTTATAATAAAGCAAGGTTCAATTTCTGCGATTTGTAAGATGTTCACGGAAAAATTCTAGTTCCCGATTACAAGTATACTTTCTCGCGCAACGGAGAAAAACTTTCTCTTGAAAATCACACGACCTAAATAAGCTTTAAGCGAATTCCTTTCTAATCGATTTAAATACGCGCCTATACTATTGATACTTTTTAATAGAAAAAAAATTAACATGAAGCTTACTGTGTCTTTTTCTGACCCACTAGTTTCGTTCCAGTCACTGTCCGTATTGGTCGACACCTCTCTCAAAATCACTTTGATCGGCTGCACGTAATAGGGCGCTGTAATGAAACTGTTGCTGGATATGGAATGTGACTGTTGCCCTGTGCCGTACGGCACCTAAAAGGAAGAGCTATAAAGCTTCACAATTGATCGATGACGGTGAGCTCATGTAAAAATCTAATAAGCACCGGGATAGCAGCGTCTAGCAAATAAGGCTACAATGTTTATAATAGATGTTTCACCTAACTGATTGCGGCATCTCGAAGTCTATGAACTTACCATTTACATGATATCTTCATCTATCATTGTGTATATCAAATTTCACTGCCATACCTGATGATTCAACGCGTAATTCACCAGGGAAGGGGGACGACTGTCCAATCCACCAATCGAGTTAGAGAGCCCGCTCTTTTGGAAAGTGGAGCTGTTGGAGAGGTCGCTTCCAGGCACTGAGTCCGGCGTGGTACACCTGGATAGTGTTGCAGCATTGTTTCCGTCTGGGTTGATGAAACCGTGATTATCCATCGAAGCAGAAACCGTCTTGTTCATTTCCTGGATTAAAACAACCCCAGTCATTAGGATGATTATTGCGGCGGTTGCAACAACACGACTGCAACAATCGAAGCCTTAGCTTCAGGAAATCTACATTTCTTACAGCCACTCAACCTAAACGCCAGCTAACTCAGAAGCTCTTTGTTCATTCAAATTGAATTATTAGATCCGCGCCCTTTATCAGGCATTGTCATTACTTGCACTAAACACCAAGCTGTCGTTAATACCATCATAATTGTCCTAGTTTCGGCTTTTTCAGATCTTTCGTTTTCCCAATTGCCATACATGAAACACTGATGGTTATTTTTATCGGTGAAAACACACAATTACCTCTGTGAGCCATTGCCGTGAGGTGCTCAAGGATGCCAGAAGAGCAGCGTCTCGCCAGAAACTCTTGTTGCTAGCAGCAGATGATTCTGTAGCATTGATCTGCTTTTCTTCACCTTCTTCTTCCTTGTCATCAATTGTGGGCATATTCATCTTTCTCCTGAATTGTATCGAGAATATACGAAACTTAGCTAACTTATGATGTAAAGACACAGGGGCGAAGCTGCACTTCGCAAATAAGGGCAAAAATAGCAAAAGAATCTTCATAATTGCAAGAAACAAAAAACAAGGTATTCTTCCAAGATAAGATTTTTTGACTGCTATGTGTTGAGTAATGAAAAATAGAGTCGGTTCTCTTCATCATGAAAACGAATATACTATTACTATTAAGGTTTTTAAAATAAAAAATTAGGTAAGTTTAAACTTAAACCCCGCACCTCTCGGTTTGTGAAACATTCGAATAGAACAAGCGTTTAATTATTTACAGAGGCGAAGCAGCGCTTCGCAAACACAAGCGAGGAAAATGCAAAAAAAAGAGCACTAAACAGGCAAAACAAAGTTAAATAAGGAAAAGATTAAAAATACACTTGAAAAAAAATATTAAGATTAGAAGTATCATGTTCTAACATCTGCTCTACAACCACTTGTAATTGAACTAATACTAGCCATAGCCACCAATAGATAAGCTACAGTTTCCATCAAATTGCCAATGTTATGCAACAAAAATTCGACAACAAAAAATCTCTATTTTAATGTTCCGGATTTGAATATCCGACCTCTTGATTAGGATTCTCACATCCTCCCATCTGCGCCACGCTTTCTTGCAAGTAAACTAGTGAATCAGCTAATTATGGATCTACCTATTCTAATATTTTAAATCACATAATGTACTGATACGGGAATGCGTAATTTTCAAAAAAAATGGACTTACAGTAAACCCTGGTGTTTCTCTGCTTGATTACGGGATTAACCGCTTAAGAAAAGAAGAAAACTACTACTCGCTCTTTCAATTGAAGTCTTTATCTAAGATTTGGCAGGGCAGTTTTCGAAAAAAAAAATAAAAAAAGATTCTAACAACCGATCAAAAATTTGACTTTTCGCATATCCATAAACTTTTCTCTAGTAAGCCATGAGTATAGCATCTGTTTTCCACACCCTGATTTCAAGATTGAAGAGTTCCTCGCCTGATTTTTTAATTTGAAGCCTTAATTTCAGATTTAACAAGTAATTTTTGAGAATAGTTACAAAACTTCTATAAAAAACCAGTATAAAATTTAAAAAAGAATTTTTCCGAAATCCAGATCATCTTTTCTACAAAAAACAATGTAAGACAGATTACGCAAGGAAAATCTAAAAACAATGATAGTTTTATTGAATTATCAATATCAAACCCAGCAGAGGTTGGTTTTTGAAGAACAAAGCTCTAAGAAAACGTGCAAAACTTCTAAAAATGGACATTTATTACTGCCAAGTTTTTTCTTCAAAACGCAGGGCATATGGAAGTACCGTATAAAGAATTTGATAAGTATGCATTTCAGTCCCATAGGCTGCATGAACTTGACCCAGGTTGGCAGGAAATCTGCAAGTCTGGGCATTCTGTACCAAAAACTGTCGCGGCAACGTTCTTTGGAGATCAAGGGCAAGCGGAAAAGCTGACTCTCTGATGATCTGCTGGCTACTCTAAAGTGGTTACTGCAATCGTAGTCGTACTTCGATGAAAGGATATTAGAAAGCATCAATAGGGGGCATATGTTCATGTTGAGGGACAGTGGAACTATACTCAATTGTTGTAGGCGGTCCTTGTATGGTAGGTCGTAAACACCAAGTATCCATTTTGAACATAGGCGCTGATCGCCCTCAAGAACACGCGCATCTGTTTTTGAAGCATGCCAGGCGACTGATGAATAAGTAATATTTGGTACTATCAAAAGATTTGGCACTGATGAATAAGTAAGATTTGGTACTTTGTTGCAGCGAGGACAAATGTGTTCCGTCCATGAAAGATTTTTGCAGATAATGATCCCAAGATCAGACTCACTTTCTGATTGTTGAAGTTCGCGAGCACCAAGCAGCACTAGGGTACGTGGCTAGCTCTTTCCAAAAACGAGATGATGACACTTATCCAAGTTGAAAGGTAACAAGTTGCAAGGCGACCATTCGGAAAGAACAATCATTTTGAATATCCGATAAGTTTTCAAGGATAGATAACAACTTGGCATCGTCCGCGAACATGAATGGTTGACGAGCAATCGGCTGAGAAATCTAGAACGTAAGTCAGGATTAAAAGAGGACCCAACAGTGATCCTTGGGGGACCCCACTAATAACAAAGAGTGGGCACGAGGCAGCATTGCCTATAGAGGCATACTGTTGTCGGTTGCTGATGTATGATTTTAAAAGCTTCAGTAGTCTACCGCGGACCCCAATTTTTTCCAATTTTGAGAGGAGATATTGATGTTCTATCTTGTCGACTGCTTTGCTGAAATTGAGATGAACGACGTTAACCGACGTATTTGGAGTTTGATATCCCTTATATAGAGAGTTCAGAAAAGATAACAGCTGTGGAGCACCTCAGTCTGAAACCAACTGATTCGGATGAAGTAGGGCGTGGCAAATGAGTAAAGCTCGTCGAAAATGCAATTTTCGAAAACTAACTATGTCCAAGAGAGTAACGGGGCTATAATTTTAAGCAAGCAACCGATTTTACTTTTTGGTATATCGGGGTCATGTTGCCGATTTGCTTCTGGTTCGGGAATATTCAAATTTGTTTTATTTTGTAGGAATGAGTGGACAGTGACTTCGCTAGTCCAGGTGCTCTGTGAAAAAGAACATGTGGGGTTTGTCGGAAGCTCGAGATTTCGTGATGTCACGGTGAGATATGATCTTCAGGACACGGGTCTCTGATTAGTCAAAGTCGGATATGTAGCGACTGGAATGCTTGTTTGGTTCATATAATGATAAAGTCGAACCATTGGAAAAGACACTCTGAAAGTTTTTGTTAAATAGATGTGCTTGGTCTGCGGGTGCCGATTCAAGCTTTTCCTTGAGCTGCACAGTTGGCGCGATTGGGTTTGCCTTCTTTAGTGACGTAAAGAAGGCAAACCCAAATTTCACAACCAAATTAAATTTCTAGCGATCAGTCGGTTCATTTTAATGTCTTATTTTTAATTTCGCTTTTAATCGCCAACATGTTTGACCTCGAAACTTTCCGAAATCTGAACGACGAATTGAAATACGAGCTGTATAAAGACTTAGTCGAAAATGTTACTTATTTTAAACGAATTATCGAAAACTTAACTGTATCAACGAAAGAGGAAGAAAGAGGAAACAAATTTTTTGATCTAGAAAATTTTAAAAACACGGGCAATTCGAAAATTACAGAAAACAAATTTGAAAACGAATGGAGCAAGATTGGAACTCGGAGCAGAAATCAGAACAAACGAAGCGAAAATAACCAAGATTCTTTTAGGGGTTCTGATATTAATGCAAACACATGTGAGATTACAACCCGCCCCAGAATGAAGCAAACCCAACAATCATCAAATTTAGATCCAAAAACGGCAGAAATGTTACAATTTTTCCAAAACGGTGCAAAATTTTTTAGGAAATACTAGTTTCGCATTTTTTCTTGGTGCAAACTTTGGCGATTATTTAATTTATTTAACCTATTATGCTGAATATTAAATTCTGGTTGTTTTGTGCAATTTTTCTAATTTCCAAGGCTCAGATGGAAACTAAAGAAAAAACTATTGTTTACTGGGGCTATCTAAGCTGCCAGCAAAAGATATTATCAACGAAATGTGGGATAAATGAGCGGAGAGCTACCACACTGACTCATCTTTTCCTTTTCGCGTTGTTACTGACCCAAAGTGGGGATGTTGAAAAAAACCCTGGTCCTATCGAAACCATTGAAACAGTCTACGGTATCTGCTCAAAAAATTGTGCAAATCTTAAATTTGTTCATTTGAATTTTCAAAGTATTATTAGAAAACGGATGCAATTGAAAAAATTTCTTGATGATATGGGCGAAAACACAATTATAGGAATTTCCGAAACGTGGCTTAAAAAAGAAGATAGTGACAATTTATGGAATTTCCAACCTAGAACGCATGCGATGTTCAGATATGATAGGCAATCAGCGGTAAAAAAGAAAGGCGGTGGCGTTTTGTTATATATACCAGTCAAATTGGCTCCGAAATTGAGGCCTGATCTAAATTTATTTGATAAAGAAAAATATGAGTCAGTGTGGGTTGAGTGCAAATCTACATTTAACATTTCGAGTAAAGAAAAAATGTTAGTTAATTTGTGTTATAACCCAAGCAGATCAAACTTTATTGATTTTTTGGAACAATTAACGCTTAACATAGATAATGCTTTTTCAGTTTCTAATAAAATTACGCTTTTGGGTGATTATAACATAAATTATCTGGATAGCAAAGAAAAAGAAAATTTAGATTCTATAATTATTCCATATGGATTGAAGGTTTTTTGTCCAAACGATGAGACCAGAATTAGTTCCTCAACAAAAACTCATATCGACTACATAATCAGTGACTATGAAACAAACGGCATTGAGTTTTGTTTTGATACACCTTATAAAACCGACCATTTTGCTTCATTTATTTTGACGGATATAAAATGCGGCAAAATTTTACCGAGGATAATTACGACTTTCAATAAGAAAAATTATCAGAAAAATGAATTTTGCAATTCACTCTCCGCTCTTCCTTGGTATCTCTTATATCAATGTACAGACGCACAAAACATGTTCTCGACGATGATTTATTTAATTTCTTGTGCTCTACAGCAACATGCTCCTATCGAAAAAAAGTTTGTTCGTAATTTTAAACCAAAAAACGTGTTGAAAACGGAATGGTTCGATTCAGAATGTCAGCAATTGTTGACTAAGAAACAGAATTCACTCAGATCATATCGCAGTCAAAGCACAAGCGATAATTGGTCAAAGTACCAGTTTTTACGTAATCAAATGAGCAAATTGATTAGAAGTAAACAATTCGATCATTCAAAAAATTGTTTTTCACTTCTCAGCACTATCCAACAAAAATGGAAATATATTAACCAAGTTAGAGGTACATGTTCTGGCAACCATCGAATTACAGTTCTACGAAATTCCTTCAATGAAATGATAACCCAAGACAAAAAAATTGCCAATCATTTAAATTATATTTTTTCAAACTTAGGCGAATTTTTCGGCGCTAAAAAGCCTCCGAATTACAACAAATCTGCCTCTGAATCTGCATCTTTTCATTTTCAACACATTACAGTGAAGCAATGCTTTGATATAGTTCGAAAAATCAATGTTGGAAAACCTCTCGGACCTTGTACCGTACCTGCTTGGGCAATCATTGACGGTCAATCAGTTATAGTTCCACATTTAACTTTTGTCATAAATACTTGCTTAGATGAGAACATTTTCCCGATCGAACTGAAAAAAGCAAACGTAACCCCTTTGTTCAAAAAAGATGACCCAATGGATGCAAAAAATTATCGGCCAATATCAATAACTTGTGCTTTTTCTAAAATTTTTGAAAAAATTTTACATGCCCAAATAACAGAACATCTTGACAAATTTCAAATAATGACACCATTTCAATTCGGATTTCGCAAAAACATTTCAACACAAGATGCTCTTGTTTATGTGACAGAAAGTATTCGAAATCAAATAGATTCAAAAAAAATCGTACATGCAGCTTTATTAGATCTGTCCAAGGCTTTTGATTCTATTTCGCATGAAGTTTTAATTGAAAAAATGCTTTCTCTCGGTTTTTCAAATGGAGCAAATGCTTTAATTGCTAGCTTCCTAAACAAACGTATTCAAAGAGTAAACGTCAATGGAATTTTTTCAGACTGGATTGAAATAAAACGAGGTGTTCCACAAGGAACGGTACTTGGTCCGTTGTTGTTCAATATTTATGTTAATGACATACAAGAGCGATTATATGAGGGTTGTACTTTAGTTCAATATGCTGACGACTGTATGGTTTTTTCCTCTTCTATAATTTCTGAGGATGCTTTGAATCGATTGCAAAAATCACTCAATAATCTAACGGAATTTTTTGCAGAGAACCAATTGAATCTGAATGCATCTAAATCGGAATTTATAACATTTTGTCAAAAAAATGATAGCAAAAATGTGGATACTGATAAACTAGTAATTAGTGGGCATTATGTAGCCAAAAAATCAGAATGCAAATATTTAGGCATAATTCTTGATTCAAGTTTATCTTTTCATGCTCAAATCAAAACAATTCTCCAAAAAATGGCCCAAGGGATTAAAACTATTGATACAATTGGACAACAACTGCCGACATTATCATTAGTTGCCTTGCTTCATTGTCTTGTTTTATCACATTTAGATTATTCAGCAATTTTTTTACAACAAATTAATGCTACTTTGATGCTATCTCTGGAGAAACAGTTGAACTGGGCGCTAAAAAGAACATATTTCAGATCGAATTTTAAATCTTCTTCCCTTCTTCGCATTAGCAAATCGTTCATTGGAATCGAGAAAAGAATTGAGTTAAAGTGTATAACATACTTATACCAATATCTTACAAACAAAAAGAAGGCTTTTGAAAATACACTGAGACTACCGACTGCCAATTATAGGCTCAACGAAAGAACGAAACAAATTATTTTTGACAAACATTGTTCGACTGCTTCTCTACAAAAATCATTTTTTCATTTGACTTCTAAAAAATGGAATTCACTGCCCATAATTTTGCGCAATTTAGAAAAATCGAAAACAGAATTCAAGAAAAAATTGAAAGAATTTTACGTGAGTGAATTGAGAAACAATCCTATATGTACTAATACAAATACGTGGCGTGATTACCGTTTTTGCTAGTTCTATATTTTTTAATTCAGTTTAATTTTTCACACATTGCTTGAAAGAGAAACTGTATATACTCTGCATATACGTTGTATAATTGGACTATCTGTAAAATTGTTTGTAAAGTTTTATTACCAGCTTGTTCCTAATTCTTAAATCTTTAATTTTCTATAGTATCCGAAACTTCATATACTTTAATCAACCAATTTCCGAACTGAACCCGATTTTGTTTTTTTTTGTTTTGTTTATTGCTTGTTTTCTGATGTTTTGTTTTTGTTTGATGTAACCAATGAATTTATAACCAATTTTATTATTTACACTTTGCTACACTGATGCCTCGGCTTTTTATTGTATAGTAATTCAAGTGTTCTTTCTTCTTCTTCTAAAATATTTGTACAAGTGTCTGGTGTCTCGCTTATCGTCAAGCATAGTCTCACATGATGCTTGGTCTTCAGACATATTCAGAGAAATTTCAGCTTCCAAGGATATGACGGGATGCTTGGTTTTCTCGGTCGAAGACGTGGTATGTCAGGCTTTCAAAGTTATTAGTTTTTTGAGCTTGAACGATGTCTCTGAGATTATTCAAGGAGGTAGGCTAAGGCGAAGCTGAGTTTTAACAGAAACACTTTCTTTCAATTTTATTTGCAACTATGTTTTCTATTCGTACAGTAGAGTAATTAGATTGGACCAGCAGTTGCCAGTAAACGGATCAGATTCGATCATCTGTACCAGTTGATCGTAATCCGCTTTTGAAAAAAAAAGCTGGTTTTCTAGGGTTTAGAATAGGTCTTGTCGCAGAACATTAATTTCATCAAGAGTGCAAAGTGATCTCAGCAGCGTGTGCCATCAATAGAGTAAGATTCTGTAAGTAGTTCGTCGACTGAAGCATCAATGCGGACATTTGTATCGTTAGTGAAGACTAAGTCCAGAGTTTTGGACGATTGTTCGTACAAGTCGGAAGTATGCTGAGTTGCAGTCAATGCCAGTTAGATTGAAGTCGCCGAGGAGAAAAAAAGGCGCTTCCAATCTGAGAGATATGTCGACCAATTTTGCTAACAACGAGCCCCACTGCTCAGTAGACCAACGATATTGACTGTTTGCAGGTGGATTGTACGCCACTGCGACGATAAAAGCATCGTTTTTATTTTGTACGTGACACGCAATAATTCCAGTCTTCAATGGGTGATCGGCTAAGCCTAAGTCAATTTGCGAACGAATCAAGTTCTGGTTGATTGCAAGCGCCACGCCGCCGTGTCTGGATATCGGACTCCGTGAAGCTCAATTACACCGGTAAAAAAAATGTATTGAGGGAGAAATTTACACCGGTAAAAAAAATGTATTGAGGGAGAAAGAGTTGCGTTGGTTGTAGTGCATCAGAATCATTTGGGCTTTCGGTTCACGCAGGAGGCACTCAAAATATGACTTTTTCATTTTGTTCGCAGCACTTGCTAAGTCACCAGCGTCTAGGTTTAGAAGTTCGGGAATATGAGGATAAAAAATGGAATCCGAGAAAGACTTCAAACGGGACTGCTTGCTGCGTTCGTTTGGTGAATTGTCATTCATTTTGAAGCGATAAGGACTGATTGGTAACCCAAAGGCGCACCAGTGACAAGGTAACCAAGAGGCGCACAGTGATAAGGTAACCCAGACTGATGCACTTTTCTGCTATTAAAAGTACTCGGAAAATGGGCCCAAAATGCCCCTTCTTATCAGTTAAGATTTTTCAAGGCAAAAATTTAGGTCCAATTGCAGGCTACAAGAGAGCAGGATAAGTGTTCATACAACCGGAACCGAACATTTGAAATCTCTTTGCCGTGCCACCAAATGAGTGCTTTTATTTGCGACTTAGGTTAGAAAAAAAGTTCTTCGTAATAATACACTACGCTTCGTTTGTGTAAACAGACAACACACATTGGGTAAAGTCACAAATGAAAATAAGGAAGGAGCATCGACTCATCTAAATTTGCAAGATACTTTACCGAATGTTAAATCACTCTTTAAACCCATATTGACTGTCTGTGTTATTATTTGACGAATTCCATTTTTGACATACCAGCCCCAAAAAATTTGTAATTGCGCCGGTGAATAGAACGCCAGCAAAACGATTATTGGTTCAAACCTTCCAAACAAGGTAAAACTGGTAGACCTGCTAAATTTCACAAAACTCTTTTTTGAAGCATCGCTTTTCCCCAGCAATGCAAACAATGGATCCTTGAGTAGTTTAAAAAATACTGAACACAAGACTAAAAAAGAAATATGAACTAGCAAATGAATTTGAGAACAACTTTCAACATTCCGGCAAAAAACTGAATATACCTTTTTTTTACATTTCCTGATGAAATATCAAATATTTCATTCAACTCCGCACAATTTCGTTTCGTTGGTTTGCTGTCAAATGCTCGTAAACTTGAAATGACATCTCTGTCAGTTGATCGTGCTGAAGCTTCCAAACTAGATTTGGAACGGTTCATATCCGCTGTGTAACTGAAAACACA